ACTTGGCCTCCACCTTATTGTACGCACGCGCACGCACACACACACACACACACACACACACACACACACACACACACACACACACACACACACACACACACACACACACACACACACACACACACACACACGCCTCTGACACATGAAAATTAATGGGATTCGGTGGAGGCAAGATCGTTCCAATTTATTATCGATCTCTGTTGTTATAACTCTATCTTCCTGTGAGAGAATACAGGTGTTTGTTTTTGACTCATTGAATAACTGTCAATGTTGAAGCTTGTGGCATTCAGACCTAAACCTGGCTAATGCTTCATAATGAACATCATCTATAAACATTAACTTGACTATTGATACTCAAGAAAGAGTTATTTTGCTGTTAAACCATGAAATGATCATATTTTCACTTACTGGTCTAGTTGAAAGTACGTTGTGTAGAATTTACCAACATTTTCCACATAAATTAAATGTCATGCGAAGTATGTTCAGTTTATATTGAACTAAATGTCATCATTGTTTTATTTCTGATAAGAAAAGTCTTTATTTTTCATCCGAAATGAATATATGAAGAAGTAAAATGAGATCTGGACAACTGACGGCAGAAACTAAGACTTAACATGGTGTTACCTCACCACTTTATTTGCACAACACTATGACTTTAATCTTGTAATATTATGTCTTCACTACAACTTTGTTTTTTTGGAACTATATGCCTGTGATCTCGTAACATTTTGGCTTCATTTACTAAGACTGTGTTACAGTCTATATATTAAAGGAGTTAAAGCTCAAGTTGGGTTAAGTCTGGAAGAGATAAATGGAACCCTGTGTTTACAATGTAAGCAAGAAAAACACTTGTTTGGCCTCTAAACAAGTAAATAAATAAGATTTTAAATAGTAAAATCATAAAGGATCAAATACTTACTTGTTTTTTCAGCTGCAAATAAATGACAGTATATTCTGCTAATGTGCTAAACCAGAAAAAGCTCGCATCTTCCTCACTATGTAAATGATGTCAATGATTGACAGCATGCGAGCGGATCAGCTGGGGGAATAAATTAGTATTACATATAATGAACAATATTGCCCTGCTGTTACTCTGTGTAGCACCATTTCTCCACATTTACATCCCAACAGGAGAGGGGTTTTTTTTAGCCCCTTCACTGATTCTCCAGTAATTCAGAGAGGAAACACACTCACACAGAGCAGCTAGTGCTGCATAGCAACAGTCGTTTGCTGCCCACAGGGCAGCTGGAATGAGACATCTTTTTCAGGGACATTTGGACAGTTTAGGATAAATAATACATACCAGTATCAGTGGGAGCTTCTCTGAGCTGCATGGACAGATCTCTTAGAGGAGATGGCATACTGAGGTAGCAGAGGGATGCTGTTTGTCCACTGACACACTCGTGCACTGCAAATGAGTGGTGCTGGGGTCAGTCACATAGCTGCAGACTGGACCTGGACCATATTATTTATGATTCTAGATACTGTGCAGAGCAAAAAAAAAAAGGAGTTTGGATATGTGTTTGTTATTTACACAGCACACAGTCTGCTCCAACATATTTTAAATGCCCAAACCCCAAATGACACCTGTACATACAGAAGCAATAAATATACTATGTATGAGTTGAGCTATACTCAGACAGCATGCATACAGCCAAAGCTGCAAAGATTCAGTCAAATATGCTTTTCAAACCTACAGCCAGAGTTTGGTTAAGAACTCCACTGATAACAATAATTTCATCATTTCTATTCACATGATTAACAAACCATCATGTCCAAATTAAAAACAACAAACACCCCCAACAATCTAAAACCAAAGTCATATTTCAGTCTGGACTACTTAAGTCGAAAAGAACTCAGTATTTGGTGTGCGTATGAAAAGCAAAGGCAGAGATAGAAGCAGCAAAGACCCACAAGAGGAACAAAAGAGAGTAGGTATAAGTGACAGTATATATGGCACTACTAAAGTAAGACAAGGATGGAAAAGGAGTGAGGATGGAAAAAGGCTGAAAAGCAGTATGCAGGGGAAGCTGAAACAGAAGGTACGCTTAAAGCAGTTTAAACAGGATGCCCATGTGGAGGACGAGGAGGATACTGAAAACATCTGAGATGGGAAAATGTTTCTTTCTCTTTTTCTATTTTCACTTTGTAAACAGAAGAACAACTGCTGCTTTATTAAGGTTTCCATAGTGAAATGAGGAGGAATCAAACAGGTAACTTCTACACAGGCAACAGGAATGGGAACAGAGAGGGTTAAAGGTATTAAACAGCGTGCAGTTGCTGCTGAACTGCTCATACCCTCATCCTCTGAAAATTATAACTAGCCAACAGCTTCATCTTTATGAATCCTCCCAGAGGCTATCTGCATTAACCACCTTCATTAATCATCTTTCATTTGCTACGAAGGCTCACGTACATACGGCACTGTATATAGCTCACAGTAATTTACCCTTCATTCACCTTGCAGTGCTTTTACCAGAAATCAGCTTATATTCCTTCAATCTGCAGCTCTCTTTTCTTTTTAAACCTCTCTAAATCAACATACATGTGTTCATCTAGATGAAGCAGGTTTGGCTGTGGTTGAGAAAGCTGGCCGTTTGTGTCCATACAGCACCCAGCTGGACAAATATCACAGTAAATGAAACAGAATATAAATATTCCTAACAAGCAACATCTCTGCTAGATTCAGAACCTCTTCAGACAGGTGATGAAGAATCAGCTGATAAATGAGTGCTGCAGGATAATGATGTAGATGTTTTAACACAGATGCACTGCATGCCTAGTACAATTAGGTTTTAAAATCCCACCTAGCTCGCAACTGATGAGCAGACCCAGTGCTCCCTGACTGTGTGTAAAAAGAAGAGATCTTGATCATTTTAGGAGGGGGCTCATTGTTGGGGCTTGGTGGCCTGAGCTTCAGTCACAACATGTTCGCAGTGAGGGGTGTGGGACTTCCAGAAGGACAACCATGCTATATATAAGCTGCTTTTGAGAGGTGATGTGTAAGAGCAGATTGTTAGCTGCACTAGCCCTTGAAACAAAGATGAATTTACATCTGCGAATTCAGTGGTTATAAAACCATCAGTACAGATATGACGCAAAACTATAAGATGCTCCGATGAATCATACTTCCCAGTACTCTCCACGAATGAACAAGTGCATGTGTGACCTTTCAAAGGGGGAATGATCCAAACTGAAGACTTGAACCCTGTGGCGAGGATTGTGCTCTCACAGTTTAGGACTACTTGCCTCTCAAAGGGCAGGGTCACTGGGAGACATTACAAAACATGAAACATTTCTTTCCTGGTGTAAGTGGTCTTTCCGGGATGACATTCACCCATCCTGAGGGCAACAGGGCTCAGTTATTGGTTAGGTAAGCATGGCAAAAGAACAATGTCGTGTGCTTAAGCCACCACAACCAGCAGCACCCAAACTATAAAGTATAATCTATAAATAAAGTGCTTTTCCAGGTAGATGTACTCTCTATTTGGAAATGTGTCAGTGCTTTGCTGTCAGAAAAACCTTTTTAAATCAACCACTGATGTAATGTAAGTCAAGTACCAAAAAAAAACGAACTATCCCTTTAAGGTGTTGAGCTGCTGCTATGAGAGACCACTGAAAATCTCACCCAGATACATTATGGCCAAGTTACCTGCTGTGAGTTATATGAGCTCCAGTGTTTAACCCTGCCTTTGTAAAGTGTCCTGTACTGTCGTATGGCCTCAGGTTTTCTGTATGCAAACACAGACTGATTCAGGAATACAGGCCATGTCAGAGGTTTGTGAATGATGGGACATAAGTAGAATTCATCAATCAGCTTGAACTCACCAGAACGGCCTTGTAATTTCTCCCAGTTCAATAATAATACAATTTTACATACATCTGAACATGCACGGCTACTTTTTAAGAATAACCCCAAATAAGCCTAATGCCACTGACATTGATGAAGACACTTCTACAGTAAGGTTTGCACAAATTAGAGTGTTTGGTTATCATAAGTGCAATATTTCCAGAGGACTGCAGTCACTTCTGAAAACACGACAGAGCAATACTGCCATCTAGTGACCGGCTGATTAACTTGCTAAAATCAATTTACCATTACAGATTTGAAGTAGCTCACAGCAAACGGTAAACCTACGTAGATACTTAAAAATATAGCACCAGCAGGAACTAAAGCAGTGTCAAACTCGGTTTGTATTTCAGGCTTTTAACATGCACACAAAGTCTAGCCGAAAAGCAAAGGTGAAAGGTCCAAACGACAGGTGTTTCATCTGTTCTGTAAAGCGATACGAACAGCCAGCATAAACCACAGACATGTCCTGATGCACCACGCCACCTAACGTAACTGTTGAGAAAACTCAACTATCAAGCTTTGGTTCTCTTCTCAAAGTAGGATGCTGGTAGTAGGACAGTGTTTCTCACCGTGTAAAGCAGTGGTGACAGACTTCTCTGGCCTGTTTATTGGACACACAGCTCGCCAGCGGCTCGGCTGAGTACACCAGCTCTCCTCTTCTGATCCTGGCTGTCGCCCGCACACCATTACCTTTTCCCGGACTGACAAACCGCTCCATCCGAGCTGCCATGGCTGAATTTTCCCTCCACGTGAACCGAGCAGTGTTTACATCCGCGTCAGACACAACGTGCGTCATGACGACATCGGTACGTACGTGCCCGTAACAAAACGGCAATATTTAGTTCGAGAAAGAAAGAAAGAAAGAAAGAAAGAAAGAAAGAAAGAAAGAAAGAAAGAAAGAAAGAAAGAAAGAAAGAAAGAAAGAATAAATAAATAAACGGCAATATTTGGTCAAGAAAACAGATTCCAACTTTTCAAGCTATGGAATAACATTTTGCTAGAGTATTTTTTCTCGGTCAGATTACTGGCAATTACAACGATTTGTTAGTGGTTACATTCTTAGTAAAGTAGTCTAAGAGACCTTTTTAAAATCATTGGACAAGTTAGCAGAGTATTTCTTATTTTATAACTCAGGTGAAATGGAAATGGCCTTGACTAATTTGGTTAATCTGATTGCATGTAAACTTTTCATGAATTTTCAAATAAGCTTGAAAGTAAGATGAGTCATTAAATAATCAGACTCCACCTCTTCACCTGTCTGTGTGGACAGAACTGATACAGTCTGTCCTCTCTCTGGGTAGCCAGGTGTGTCTATGTCTACCTGTCTGTATGGTCTGGCACCTCTCTGCCCCTCTGTTTTATGATAGTAGACCCAAAATTCATCTCAAACTACTGTGTGAGGAATCTGCTTCAAGCCCAGCCTACTTAGAAAGTCTGTGACCAGGACTGAAACCAAGAACTACTTCACTTAAAGCCTGATGCTTCATCTACCACAGCACAGGCCTTTTCATACAGTGCCCTCAGTTACTGGTCAGTGCATTTGAACATTTTGTTTTGGTTGCTCAAGGAAACAGTTGTATGGCTGGCTGGCCTGGATAGAAAGTCTGAGCCAGGATTTGAACCCAGAACAATTTCACTCAAATGTGGCTGCTCTATCCACCAGCAGAGCTGTCCACCAGGTCACAGGTCTGCCTGTCTAACCTTTGTGTCTTTTTAGTGTTTTTTCACTGTTTCTTTTAAAGCAAGATTAAGACTTCACCAACTTTGTAAATAGACCTCAACCTAGATTGGAGCCCAGAACCTTTTTGCTCAAAGGTGGCAGCTCTAACCACCAAACAACAGGCCTGTCTGTCTGTGCTTGCCTTTGTTTGTCATTTCTTATTCATAGTTGTTAGGGCATATTTACTTATGTTAAGATTATCATTCAGATCCCACTGAGAGAGGACCAGACCACTCATGCTGTACATAAGAAGACCCTTATCAACATAGTAGTTGAAAAGTTACCAGTAGTTACCAGTTTAGGTCTTTCCAATCCTGTGAAGAAAGCAATGGGTTTATTCTTCGCTCCAAGGCTGCATCTGGGATTGAACCCTAGGCTATTTAGCTATAAGGCAGCAGTTTTAACAATAATGCCACTAGCCTGCTAAGGATGGTGCAGTTTCTATATCATCATAGTATTCATAAATTATAGTCTAGACTATAGTGAAAGGCTGCTACACTGTTCAAGCCAGTGTTGGACTCTAGTTCTAAACTTTTTAGCTCTATACTTGAAGTTCTCACCACTGCACCATGTGATCCATTTCCAATTGCCTAAATACTAGCAAATTAAAGTTCGATGGGGAAAGCTGACAAGGCTCCAAATACTTCTAGTCATTCTAAATGGAAAGCCCTGTCTTCAGGTCTACAGCTTTTCTTGGTTCCAGTGTTGGAAAGTGCTAACCAGAATTAAAAATGTACATGTGGTCACTGACATGTCATCAGTTTCATTATATCACTCCTTTTTTTTTTCAGAAGACTCCTAGCATTACAGGGTTTACTCAAATCAGCTGAATTTTCAAAGGTTCCTCAAAAGGACATGGAAAAACTTCAGTGTCTGCTATTTCAGTTCCAAACCCAATAATGACCAAAAAATGGAGAACAAAGCTGCCAGATGAATAAAATTAGATAAAGGGAGTCATGCATTGTGCAAGTGCACTGTTGTCTGTTGTGTAAGGTGATGCACGGTATAAGACAGAAGAACTGAAGGCTCTCAGCTTTTTCAAGGATTTTAACAGTAGACATGACAGGAAAGAGCAGTTTTAACAACAAAATATAAACCGTCATATTACAGTCTGTAAGAATAAAGTGAAAATTTTTCCTCAGAACAATTCATAAAATGCCTCAGCACATTGAGAACAGTGATGCACAGTACTGATACACACACAAAATCATTCATTTATTTGTGATGTTTTGTTAGAAACCAAGTGGGAAAATGAGTGAAAACAAACCATACTGTGAGGAAGATCATAACAGCAGCACAAACTGTAGACCTCATCATCTTCAGGTTTAACTAAAAACAAATGAACCAACATAAAAGGATGAGGATGACAGTGTTGAGGGGAGCAGTTGAATAAGATGTTTCACAATCTGTTCAATGGCAACAAAGAGGAAAAATTTCTCCAATGTATGATGACAATCACTAATCAAAGAATTAAAAAACGCGGTGCATCTTTTCTTTCTTTACCACCCGAACTAGACTCTGTCTGATGATAAATACTAAAAATGATCCAGAGGATTAAATAAATGGTTTTCTGTGTAAAAGTCATCTGAACCAGCCAGAAGACATGTGCAAAAACAAGAAAGGATCCATGTACAAGTCCTTACATCCCAGGAAAAACCCCATATCTCATGTTTGAGTTTTTCTGAGTAATATGCAGAGAGTGAAGACAGACTGTTAAAATGCATAGGTAAGACACTTGAATCTCCTCGTTCATCTTTTTTTTTTTAAATCCTGACAGATAAGATCTTTGTGAGATATGTGTTTTTCCAGGGCTTTTTTGTATGGAAGCCACCATGCCACCAAATAACAGGAAAAGTATGAACAGGACACCAAACATTCAACGTGTTAAAGCATTAAAAGAACCAAAGACATAGCATAAAAATGACAACAGTAAGACTTACATTTGCTGCTAAATGGTTAGAAGTTAAAGCACTGGTGTGAGAATAAAGGCTTCTTTCAGGTAGAGTGTTAGCCTTCTTTTTTCCATTACAGACTCCTCCTCCTGTCTCCTATCAAGGTCAGTTCAATTTTTATTTGTCAAACCAGGACTCAAATTTGTGCAGATACATAAAAAATGGAAAATGTGTACTGGGTGATTCTTGGGGGGGAATGGAAAAGAAAAATTATTCTAAACTGAGGGAAAAAAAAGACTGTGGATTAAAAATTGTGAAAGAAGATCACAAATTAAAATACAAGAGGGGTCAGAGCTAGACTGGCACAGTGCTTCAGATGACTTCATCTAAATAAAGGACCGCACTGATAAATCATCCTGAATCATTTCGTTTTGACCACAATAATTTTAATTTCTTTACTCCATTGAGTTCTGTTTTTTTAGTGTATATTTTCTCAGGTTTTATATGCATATCTAATATTTCTTCTTCCACTGAGGTCTGGGAACTTTTGTATCTTATCAAATCGAGTAAAGCCTGCAATCAGTCTAGGACCAGCAAATTAACACATACAGCGCTTCAGATAGTTGCATTATCTTAACAAAAAAATAAAAAATAAAAAAACGTACCTGTCTTGTGTGCAACATGTTAAACATTCACTCGACAGCAGCTATATACAGAGGTGCATCGTGTTCCTGTGCATGTTACGTATGCTACACAAAAGAGGGGTGGAAAGTACACAGAGTACAACTGTACTGCTCAGATAGTGTTCTTCTGCAACTGCTCACTGTAAAAGCATTGCATACCTTTAAGTCACAGTTGTAGCAGTGAAAATGTGTAACTTCCCCCTGTTGGACATGTTTGATGTGACTGCTGTCCACTAGCTCAGTGTTAATGAATACCAAAATAACCCTTTCATTTTTTTTTGACAATATAAAAATGCCCCACAGATAAAAACAAAATAACAACAAACATTAAACTCTGAACATTCGTTCATTCAAAAGTTGATTAAGACACAGAGATTTCATTCCAGGTACTGTAGTAAACCACAGAGCAGTTTGTTCATTTTAAAATTTCTTTTGTGAATTCAAAAAGTCAACAATAAAAGCAACACCAGTTGTTGCGGGAGGCTGCAGAATGCCCATTGGGACTCTTCCCATTTGTGCAGTGAGCGTGTGGAGAGTTCACACCCAGTTAACAGATTATACATATCATTTATACATCTCACAAAGCTGCAGCTTTAATCACTTTGTTCTCATTATTCTAAACTCGGAGAGTCCAGTCTTAGAATCCAGTGTGAATCCGAGTTGTATCCAGCCATCAATGATTCATCAACCAGTGATTTTTGACTGAGTATCACTGGCTGACTGTGATCATATCTGCGACTACTTCAAAGACTGTAGTCATTTTGAGAATTTCAAACTCTTGCTTTAAGATTTACTGTATAACTTCTTCTTTTTCCAGGGTGGAGGGATGTGGGTCAGTTCTTCCTTTTATGTAGTCTCCATTCTCCAGTTTCAGTCTCTCTTTGTTCTGTTTTCTCTTTCAGACTCGTGTTGTAAAGGCTCGTCTGACCTGCAACTTCAAGTCTTAACCTTGGATTGTGTTCAAACATTAAAAATGCAGGAGAGAGGACTGATCCAATGTAATTGTTCAGCCAGTGAGGCAGCACATTAGCCACTTGCCCCACATAGCATTGGGGACAGAAGCAACTGCTTAGAAACTTTACCTCCGGAAACGTAGTTTCAGGAAGAAGCATGAAGTTCCCGAACCTGCTGTCCCAAACAGTAAGACCAAAAGTGTCTCTGTGTTGACACTGTCCACTGCTATGAGCCAGGAGCGAACCAGTGCTGGATCTGAGCTATCCCCCGCTGCAGCTGGCCCATGTAGAAGTCTGCATTTCTAGAGAAGTCCTGGCAGACAGAGGAATGGGCATCCCCCAGAGCACAGTACAGGGCAGTGCCACCAACACTTATCACTACGGTTACCATACAGAGCAGGAAGAGGAGTAGGCAGGAGTCCCCGCCGCCAACATCTGCAGAGACAAAGGGACAGCAATGAAGGAAGAGCAGCAGATTCTAATCGAGGTCAGATAAATGATCGGCTTCTTGAAAGTTCACAAACTATAAATGATAGACACACTAACACACCGTGCTCGTAGCCATCATCAGGGACTTTGAAGTGGACTCGTCTTTTGGCAGGAGGTTTGCCAGGGCGTGACTCCGAGGTAGCAGACACACTCACATTGTCAACACAAACCTTCCTCTTCTTTAGTATGGAGACCAGGCCAGAGGCAGGAGAAATCTGTGGAGCACAGAAGCACACACACACACACACACACACACACTGTATGTTTATTTTTCTGTACAAATCCAGTTTAATATGTTTATCATACATTTGTAAGCTGTTTACTAATGCACTAAACTCCTGAAAACTGTCCACAATCATCTGGGTAGAATGGATTTGTAAATGCAAACAGAAGAAATTGTCACTCCTGCTCCATACAGAACTCAGCAGGAAGTATTTGGACAAAGTCATTACATTAGAAAGATACAAAACAAGTCGTCCATGTTTTCAGACAAATCAGTTTCAATACAAGAACAGCAAAGACGACGCACTCAATCCATCAACATGAAGCAGTGATATAAACCGGAAAACTGTTACCAAAAGATTAAGCTCTGTTTCTTTATTGCCCATCATATGTAAACATGAAAGTGTGGCTTTTGGAGGTTGCTACTGATGTCACGTACAGCCTTCACACACACACACACACACACACACACACACACACACACACACACACACACACACACACACACACACACACACACACACACACACACACACACACACACCATCTTTCAGAAGGGAAGTCTACATGCTGTGGGGACAACCTGGGAGCAGTTTCAAAAGCTATTTCAGCAGTCCTCATGTGAAAGAGAAGGAACTTGTCCCACTTGTCTCACGATTGGTGCAACCTCAGATACATGCCCCCCACCAGGTGTCAGCACTGCACCCTGGCAGCAGTATAACACAGTATTAATTCTCCTACCCACAGGCTGACAGTAAGGGACACAGCTCGTTTAGAGAGAATAAATGATCATATTAGAATCAAAGCACTTAAAATACAATTGATCACTTGATTGTTGATAATAGGCTGTCAAGGCCTGGAAAACTGTCCCACTGCGCAACACTATTGCTTGTAAATGCATCACATACTCATACTGTCCTCGCCCCGTGTAGTCATCTCACAGACCTTGTGTGCTGATTCCATTATTCCTGACAGTCTAGTCAGGAGTTAAGTCATCTGAGAGCGTGTGATATACTGTAAGTGCTTGAGCTAGATCACAAACAGGAAAGTAAACTAATGACTGACAACAGATAGGCACTCACTTTCATAAAGATGACGACTACCGTACTTGTAGTTTAAAAACCCGGAGATGGAAAGCAGATCAGTGAAAAAATCAGGAGAAAATCTCATTTATGATAAAATCGGCTAAACGAATAAGAAGCTTAGTTCCAATATTATTGGAGATCAGATTTAGTTTCACATCTTTTCACTACTGGAACCACAGCTTTACGAAAACCTGTCTTGCTGCTTCTCATCCTGTATGAGATTAAAAAAAAGGCCATTTCTTTCGTTAAAACTGTGTCTCAGCGCATCTCTCCGCTGCCTCTTGTCTGTCAACTGTGTGCGCCTCCTGTGTCTTTCACAAGTTTAAACACTAGACACACATTTGAAGCCACATTTAGAAATCACCGCACTGTGAAATGACCTGATCAAAATATCAATAACGTGTTACTGCTTGCAGCTGAAACGGCATGACTCACTGATGACATTTTCTGTTTACTTTTCCAGTCAAAATCTGGCTCTCGCAGACAAAGGTCAAATATCAATGCCGCTTCTGTATCTGAAAAACAAGTCCATTGTCTGGGGATGTCAGTGATGGCAAGGTAATACCATTAGGGGAGCTCACCAGGGCACCAAGCTGCCGATTATACAACAGCTCAGACAGGCTGATTCAGACAGACTGTGGCCTGAAACGCTCGATAAACCGCCAACAGTTTTCGTATGCTTTTGTGGTTCGTCTAGTCTCATTAGGGTGAGTTTCATATCACTTCACTGGGATCTTAAGCTTACGGGAGGATCAGTGTCACACATTACGGCAGGGTTAGTGCAGATCTACACAAAAAGCTCTGATACTACAAATGAGCACAGCGGTATGAGGCCACTCTCCCTCCCTCCCTGCATACCTGAGCAGGTGCATTGCAGAAGCTCCTGTTTTTCATGATAACAGTTCAGAGCAAACACACAGCGCGTGGAAAAAGTGCAACTCGGGTGTGGCAGCAGTGACGCTCAATCAATAGGTTTGGCGCACTGCCCATTTTAACGACGTGTTTCCAATATGACGGCTGTAGAGCAAAGGTTTGTGTGTGTTATGTCACATACAGCAGTCATGTGAATGTAGCCGTAATTGAGAGCAAGTGCAAATGGAACCTGATCCCTGGCCTGTTTCATTTTGTAGATATTTTAAAAGACGTATGTACACCAGACATACTGTGTGTAAACATCTGTAGACAGACTTTCATGATGACCACAACAAGTCTCATCTCCATTTTCTAGTTGACAAAGATGATAAAAGATCTCCCCAAAACAAACTCTCAAAAAACTTTAGAGATTTTAAACCGGACTCAAACACCCAGAAAGAGAGTTAGGCCCGTTGTTCATTTACTCTCTCCTCCAATGCTAACACACACACTTGCTCATTCACACAAAAGACATGACAAAGTACACACCTCCTCTACTGTGATGAGTTTAGCCATGTCGTCCAGTACAGCAGCTTCTCTGATCAAGTCCGCTTGTTCTAATTCGTAATCCTCCTCTTCCTCCTCTTCCTCCATAGCCCCCTCAGCCTCTTCCTGCTGCTTCATATAAGTCTCATGAGGCAGATGGGTCTTCCGGTCCAGGTGAATACCATCCTGCAGCAGTAATGGAATATATATTTTTAGATGGCTTATCAATGCAGAGTCATGGAGACAGTAATCCATTCTGCTCTGCACTCTAATGGGCTGCTATAACACAATTTATAATGAGGCATTTAAAAATGGATGCAAGTCAGTGGAAGCTATTAAAATTTATGGACCAAGAACATCCGCTGATGTTTGGTTGAGATAAAATATGAACTGGGTAGTAAACAGGGGTTTACATGACTTTAAAAAAACAAGAGCTGCTCAAACCTCATCAGAAACAGAAACATCTGTGATAGCGTACCACTTACAGGTGAAACAGTATGGTGAATGATACAAGTAGAGTATAAATCACTGTCAAAGCAAGCGACCAAATCCCTCACAGATGACACACAGTACAAAATGTTTACAGCGTACCTCTCTCTCTTTTACTTCAATTTGTTTTTGGTAAGAATACCTTCAATCATTCATACCTGTGTCTCCTCATGTAGCTTCTCCTCAGCTACGGCTTCCTGGTGCAAATGTTGTAACTCCACCGCTGCCCCACTGATCAGAGTCTCCACTGGCAGAGCTCCCTGATGAAACGTAGAGTCTCTTTCTCCCTGCTTCTCCTCCTCTTCTTCCTCTCCTTCTTCCTCCATCTCCAAAGCTTCGGCTGCCTCCTCCACTTCACTCTCCTCTTCTTCCCTTTTTGCCTCCTTTTCCTGTGCTAGACCTAAATCTCCTCCCTGCTGCTCTGCGGGCTTGGACTGATCCATTTCTCCAGTCAGAGAGGGGTGCAGATCATTTCCCAGGACTGGAATGGTGCATCCTATCCCTTCCTCCGGCTCTCCTCCATCCCTGTCACTGGAGGCCCTGCCCTGTAATAACCTGTCTGGGTCCCCCCTGTCCTTATCTGACATCTCCAGGGAATTGTGCCCATCAGCCGAATTAATGGAAGGTCTGACTGGACGGCTGGCCTGAGGATGGGAGGAGTCTTCACTCTGATGGACTAGATGAAAAAGAGGAAAAGACAGAGGCAGAGGAGAGGAAGAAATGACAGAGGAGAGAGAGAGAGAAATAAAAGCAGAGTTCATGAATAAAATCAGGTATTGATTCTGGGAAACTCACTTAAAGAAGCCTCTGGACTTGAATATACTTGTTTATTTCAAGTGAATTGTGACCAATGCTTTACTTTAATCGTGACATTACACTGAGGACTAGGAAGGCTGCCCTCATGTACAAACCAAAGATCTACTCGAACACATTATTCATCATTGTGCATATCTCAACAACACAAATGCAATAACAGCAGAAAGAGGAAACTGCTCGAGCATTTGACTTGACTTGTATTTTTCTAGAAAGGCAAACAATCAAAACCAGCCAGGTCTAAAATGTAAAGAAACTATGAACTGTTTTCTGTATTGAATTAAAAATGTCTTTAATATTTGAGCATTTACAGCAAAAACACAGTTTGCATATTCTACCATTACAGAAATGCATTTTTGGCATTTTTAATAGAAGCTGGGAGTGAACATGACAATTTAATCTAAAACTCAATGGTAAACAAAATTTGTGGAATGAATAGAAAAAGGTTTTTAAAATCCAGAGTGTTGACTGCCACATGTTGGTTTGAAAGAGCAGTCCCGCCAGCTAATCAAATCAAGGAGAAGGTTGAAACAAATGCAGTCGAACACATGCTTTTGAGTGTGGACATGATGTCCCACAATCCACCGAGTTAATGGCCTTTGCACCAAAGCAGCTACCTCTCCACTTCACTTAATCAACAAGCCAAAGACAAAATCAGGGGCTTTTTGCAGCACACACACATACACACAGAGTGGAGTGAATCTCCACTGGAACATTTCTCTAAACCCGGACCTCATGCCAGGTCAACAAAGCATTTCACTAAGACACAACATAATTTACATTTTAAAAACATCATCATGTCTTCACAAGAACTGTCAGAAACAGAGTCGTGCAGCAGTGTTTAGAGGGGCAGGGGCTTAACTTAAAAAAGGGCTTTATGACACTGTGAGAGAAACACTATATCTGTTTGTAAAGCAAACTCATGACTCAGGGTGGTTAAAACAACATTACATGACAGATAATTAATGATAAATGAATGTAATTTATATGAATCATTCCTAAAGTTTAGAATCAGCAGAATTTGTCAACTACATGTTATCATTATTGTGGGTTACTGCCAAAACAAGTGCAAACCCTCTGCATTAAGATAAGATAGATAAGGAGGAAAATTACACATAAAGCACCTCCCCTGGCAGCATGTCTACCTATCTCAACTCACGTGCAAATATATCTCAAAACGTGTCAATGAGTTGAACTGCTTGTAACAGCTTGAAAAAGCAAGACACTTAAGCATTAGAGGGCAGAGGGGCAGGTTCTTAAGTCCCACATGATGTCTTTGTATGCAGGAGACCTGTTCAGAAACATAGCAGTAAATATATACATATATATATAATATATATATATATATATATATATATATATATATATATATATATATATATATATATATATATATATATATATATATATATTATATATATATATATATATATATATATATATATATATATATATATATATATATATATATATATATGTCTTAGTAAAATAAATCAATCTCACCTGAGGGTTCAGGTTTGTTGTCATTGTGCACTGAAGACTTCGTGCCCTTTAAAATCACTTTCAACTGAATGAAGTGATGCAGCTTTTCAACGCCACAAAAATATGGTCCTTGGACCTTGAGTGAAGATGAATCTACCTTAAAAATAACTGGTTTTCACTTTTGTTGCATGTTTTTCTCTACTATGTGATATTTTCCTTCTTTGAGTATACTGTAATGTTTTAAGAATGGACCAAAAGAGGCAACAAGCAACACTGCTCCCATGCATTTGTATGAAACACACCATCTCTGTGACACACTCACTCACCTGAGGAACATGGAAGTAGTGCAACACTTTCTGCAGTTGTAGGCTTCAGTAAATTCTGAGATGAGCACTGTAAACACACACAAATGCACACATGCACAATCAACTTAAGATAGTGAGAATACACTTGACAGTCTCACCTTGTCTGTACATGCAGACTAAAGTTGACAGATGAGCAACCATAAGGCATTTAAAGATGCATAATGTCAAATGTAATCCAGGGTCACAAGGAATGCAAATGCATGTTACTTGGCTTATCTTATTTCTGTAACAAATAAAAAAATAAAGAACAAGAAATAAAGAGTGACTTACCACAGCATCTTGAGCACTTGGTCTATGAACAGAAAAGAGAAGAGAAGCTCAGCAAGACCGTCAGAGTGCTGAAGGACTGCTCATGGTTTTAGTAAATGAAGATGCTAAAGATGGTTGACCCTTCTTTACTCTCCCAATCTAATATTAGCCCAAGCACATTTCCCTGGCTATCACGCTGGCGTGTGTATGTGTGTGTGTGTGTGTGTGTGTGTGTGTGTGTGTGTGTGTGTGTGTGTGTGTGTGTGTGTGTGTGTGTGTGTTTGTGTGTGTGTGTGTGTGTTCTTGAGTCGAGCGAAATGAAACTCTAGCAGTGTGAGGGCTCAAATGTCTAAAAGTGCAGCAGAAGCAGCAAGCAGCAAAGAGCCATATGTTTAAACTATCAGTGCAGTCATATGGGCATGTACACTGACACACACACACACTCTTCACCTGTCTTTGAGAGAGGCGAACATGCAGCTGTGTTTGGTATTCAAAGAGTGTGTCTGGTAGGTTAAGTGTGTGCTGAGGACTTCTTATTAAATATTGAGAAATGCCAAAGTGGGCTTCAGCTGACTCATTTGTTACACGTGCTTGAGCTCCAGCACCAACAGACTCACACACTACTTATCAAACAACACTCTTACAAGTGTAACACACACAGACACCCACACAAACTCTTTCTTAAAAAGTAAAACAGACAATGATTCATTCGTTTGCAGCTAAAGGGTTGTTGTTTCTGAAATACTGCAAAAGCCTAGAAATATGTCTGCAGGTAAAGTTGACATATTGAACCGTCGAATTATCTTAAGTAATAGCTGCAGGTGCTCAAAATTCTAACTAAATAGTTTTAGGCCAGAGAAAAAATATAGCATCTTGTGGTATTCAAAGTATTCATGAGGCTGTAAATGTAGAAAAAAACATATCAAACTGCCAAAACATAATGATAACCTGTCTGATATTGTTCAGGCCTGCAGCTTTACAGCTTCATACTACAGAAATGTCACCATCACCCACTGTGTGTTCTGGCACCTTTAGCCTTTGCTCCTATTGCACACTGATGAACACTAGCTGCCCATGACCCTGCCACAGGTGCACCAGTTTTCCTTTCTTGGACCACTCTTGGCAGATTCTGACATTGCTGACCGGGTGGGAACACTTCACAAGCACTGCAGTTTTGGAAATGCTCTTACCCAGTGGTCCAGCTATCTCAATTTGACCTTTGTCAAAGTCTCTCACATCCTCATACTTGCTTAATTTTTTCTTCATCTAGACATCAACTGAAAGGACAAAATTTTCACCTGATTTCTATCATATTCTGGCCACTGACAGGTTCCATTATTACGAGATAACCGTATTAGTGAATCACTTCATCTGTTAGTGGTCATGATGTTATGGCTAAGTGTGCTAGTCACTTCAAAACTTTTCAGAAAATGTACTCTCTTAATCTATAATAAGTACAGATAATCAAAAAGACAAATGCTCATACAGAGACTGTCAAACACACACGCACACATGTACAGTAAAACACCCTCATGCAGACTGACCGACTGTGTGTTTGACAGATGTGTTTCAGAGTGTCCAGATGTTGGGTTGCCAGGTTTGAGGAAGTCCCTCCACACTGACTCTCTATGAGAAACAGAGACACACAGAGACACAGACAGTTTAAAGGATCACTGTTACAGGCTGCCTGTCAAAATATTTGGAGTTTCTGATGATTGGAACTAAATTGAAAGCATATCATTGGAATTCAACCAAACAAAGACGGCAGTCATAATGTTGAATAGTTTCAGATTTTACAGCCTGTGCATGTCAGCACAAAAGATGACAAATATGGGATTTAGTAGCTATCCCCAAAGGGTTTGAGACAAAACAAGTTTTGCATGCTGCAGAGCTGCCTGCCCGGAAGGTGCGAAGCAACGTCTTTTCATTGAAGTCTAAATATTTAAAAAGAGCAGTTTCTTATTTTCAGTTTTGAAATTCACAACTAAATCACCTGCTGATCAGCATAAATGTGACTTTCATGAAAATATTGCTGATAGTTTGATGTAAGACTACTCCCTCTGTTTCCATTTCTAGTTATTTAAGAGACAACATTAACAGTGCAGCTATCTAAATAAAAAAATATATACACAATATATATGTTTGTTCAGGTGTGTATTTGACGTACAGTGAGTGAGTGTGTGTGTGTGCATACATTACCCCACTGTTCCTTTAGTGCATTCAGGTTGTCCAGCACTCTCTGGTGATAAAGTCTCTCTAACTGGATGCACCATAACGCTCGCTGGTCTGACCATCATGAGTTAAGAGGCGGACACAATATGATGCAAAAGAGAGCTACAGATACCAGTTTGCCTTAAAACACAACCGACTGTGTTTATGAAGAGCAGACGGATGTAAAGAGAAGAACTGAAGTGAGACTGAGGAAAGAGAGGGGGACAGTGAAACAGAGAGAAGAGGAGGAAGCTAAGTCATGCCAACAGAGGGCTCCGGGATAAAGTGTCTCATATTTATGGATATGAGCAGCCAACGCACAATCCTTCTTTGATATGGCTCAAAGCTTTCCCTCTATTTTACCCCTTACTTACTGACCCTCCATACATGCATGACATAGCTAAGCTAGCTTTCCCTCCTCTTTGTCTTTTCTCCCCACCACAGCATCTCTTTTCTACATTAAATATTTGTCAAATTTTCTTTTTTTCCACCTTATCCAAATTCCTGCCTCATACTATATTTTTTATTTAATGACTTTTTCTAAGCGATGGGTTATCTGGTAAAGTTGGGGGTCTATATTAGGAATCACAATCATAAAAAAGAGCTTTTGGTTGGTAAAAAATACAGAGTTCAGCTGTAAAGAAAGCCATCCTTCCTCATCTAAGATTTGACTTTTTGAGTGTATGTCTCCTCATTCCGTCTCCATAACTCATGAGCCTTTGAGTGTTAAGTATAAGCCAGCTCAGCTACCCATCTCACCTGCTTTAACTACCCCTTTAATTATTCTTATCTATTCTGCGTCTTTCTGTTCTGTCGTCTCTGGTCGCCTTCTCCTTTCAAAGGTCTTTCCTGCTCTCTTTCCTCTGTCAGTTCGATCTCTTGCTCCCCTTTCAATCCAACTGTCTGTTAAGTCAGTGGAGCATTGAGTAATCCACTACAAGTAGTCACTCCAAATTCTTCAGCTCTAAGTACAAGCTGTGTCAAAATACAGATCAAAATCCTGATAAGGTAGGCAGAAACCATCTAAAAAACACAGCACCTGTACAGACAAGCAGGCAATCGGCAGGTTAAATGATAGAGAGATAAGCTTCCCACCACCTTTAACCCCAAAATGCACAAAAACACATAAATACACACAACGACATATTGATAAGGATACAGTCCTCCTGAAGAACGAAAGCCTCTGCAATCTGAAAAGAGAGAAAAAGATCAGAACTTTAAATGAAGCGCACACTTTTAAAATGTTTATGTCATGCTTTTATCACATCACATAGGTCTACGAAGGGTTCTGAGCAAGACTGAAACGACTGCTCACTGTACAGCGGTCCCTGAACACGACACAAGATCAGCAAAACAAAAAATAAGATCTATCAGGAGTGAAGGCAAAACACACCGACACAGGGCCGTTACTGCACTGCCACTAACGCAATGACCTCTATAATCATTAACTATGACAAACACAAGATGTGAAACCAAGTTTGAAAGACACAGTAAAGCACTGAGGTATTTAAGCTAGGCCCTTACATTACAGGGATAGACTGAAAGTGAGAGTGAGAAGCAAGACAGAAAAATGAGAGACCGTGGTAGACACTCTACCTCTCTTCAGCAAGTGTCGCTTTCATGCTGCTCAGCTGATCACAGAACAAGAGAAGTGAGTGTGTGCGAAGCAAAGAGAGAGAGAGAGAGAGAGGGGGGAAAGCAGACAGAGGGAGAGAAAGGAGGAGGGCACTAAAGACTCTTGCATTTCTAATCAAGGTAGGGGTGGCGAAGACTGGATGACCTCAATAAGCATCTGGCTCAGACTCAGTACAGATAAGAAGTTGAATAATGTTGAAAACTGTTTTCTGTAGTTACACATGAGATCAATTCCAGATATGACATAATTTCACAAATACAAGGCAAGATTCAGCTTTTGTTACAAAAAGCCAAATGCAATAAACAGTATCTGTGAATCATTACTGATAAAGAAGATTCCTGTTCTGTTTTTCCATATCGATGCTACTTTTGTAGATTTTTGGAAGTATATGTGGTTCTCTTTTTTTTTTGCTCAAGCTTCATTCATGATCTGAACGAAGCTGAAACAGTTGGTCTATTCTTTGACTTTCCTCAGGCGGCTTTGTCTGTTGGTCCTCCAACGATTCATATTTATGCTAATGATGTTGGCATCAAAGGCTCTAGTCATTGAAGACCCTTCTAACCCATGTGTCTCGTTCTTTCATAGACCCACTGTGTATTTAGTCTTATTTACTAATTACATATTTACTTCTTACCTATTTACTTTAAGTCTTACTCTAAATATTGGCTACCTCTGAGCATCTCAAGCTAGTGCAGGACTTACTGTAATACTTATGCTCACTTAGGCTCATACACTTTTTTCTGACACCACTACCAGCATCAGAGGCTCTTTAAAAAAGCCTAAAATGAAGGAAGACGCATATGTAACTATGACGGTTTGTTTACCACTCACTACAAACACTACAATTTATTTGGCACTGAATTAATAATCGTCTCTTATCTAAAACTGATGACTCATCAAAGCTGGAAAAACAGTCACCTGCTCAGGTCAGGGTATCACATGATGTGAGCAAAAACAGCAGTGCGGTGCTAATGAAGAATGTAATGCAAGAGGAAATATGTCACAGAATAATCTATTCAATAGAAGTTTTGTGTAGCATTCATTTATATTTGTCTTAGATGGTTAAAAAGGTGCATTGCATTCATTCTCTCTTTGTAATAGGGTTAGTTATGTCCTGTCAAAAAGTAAGTATTGGAAAAGTTCAAGTTAAACATCTACAGCGTTTATGTGCAAAATGAACCTCGGATCAGGTACGCTGTACAAAATAAAGTCCAGCCTTTACTACCATGTTAATTTGACCTCCAAATAACTGTCCTTGTTAAGACAAGACCAGAGTTAGACCCTATGATAAAGCTGTTGGCTGAGCACTAATGCCTTTACATGGTCACTTAAAAAGAGGAAAATGTATGACACATGCAGATACATACTGTGGAGCTAAAACCAAACATAAAGAGAGTGTGGTGTGGACTCTACCCCATCGTAAGTGTTTACAGTTGTAATGCAGCTACGCTCAAGGTAGAAAGGTTCAGACAGCACAACCACACAAGTCAAGCAGATGTTAGCAGGATTTTCTTCATGACACAAACTTCACAAACACAAACTTATATATATATATGTATATATATATATACACACACACACACACACACACACACACACACACACATTGTACTCCTCAGTACTCCCTGCCTCTCACACACACTTGCTGCCCTTGAAGTAAGCATAGCTCCGGTGTGCCTGGTTGAAAGGTTAGTAAATCAAACTGACAGACATATTCACACACCCCATAACACACATGTCCAGTCATGCAGGTCTGTGTGAGAGAGAAAAAAAAAAGGCAGAGTAAGATTGAGAGTGCGTGTTTTCATGTACAGTGCACGTGAATGTGGCTCATGGACGCTTCCCTGTGCATGTCTGTGTCTGTGTCTGTGTGTGCAGACCGTGCAGACGCCCATGCCTCAAGGTACAAAGTGCCATCCTGATTATGGGGTTGAGTGGATAACAGGGATTTAATGACTAGTGTAAAAGAAGCAGCTTGGACTAAAAAGACACAAAGACAGGAAAAAACAAACTTAAAGAAACAATTAAAGTGAGAAGTGTCTTCATGTAAAGGGCTGACAGAGTGGGTGGTGGTTATGTTAAGCTCACAGTATGTGAAGAACATGCTGGAAAAGGACAGGCAGGTTACCTGGTGCAGATACTGTGGAAGGTTAGGTTCATCTCCTCTTTTTGCAAGATGCTCCAGGCTCTCGAGCAGAGCAGGGCTTGAAATAGGCCCTGTGGCGCAGGTGGGGACTGAGAAGCAAGTGGGCACTGGAGTGGAGGTAATAATGTGTTCCCAGTTGAAAGTTAAAGGTCCTTCAATGGAAGTGGATTTAGTACCAGTAGTTGCAGAGAGGGTGGTAAGGTTGGGGGTAAGGAGTGCTGTTGCTGCTGCACTTATAGGGTTTTTAGTCGTGGAAACTGTGGACCCCTGGTCGGAGAGGGGTTCTGTGGATGAGGTAAGATGTTCTGCAGTGGTATGAGTAGTTTTTGCTGAGATAGACGTAGATCCTGGCGGGCTGTCAGGATGGGTGTCTGAGGTTTTAGTTTGTGTGGGGGGATCTATGGGCCCGGTGGTAACAACAGGTGCTAATGTGACAGACCCTGAACCAGAGGCAGCTGATTCAGCACTGGTGTCACGACAGTCCAATTTGACTTCAATCTGGCCCATTTCTGCCGGCCTGATGGGATATGAAGTTTCTGGACTGACTGCTGGAATAGTAGGGGATGTAGGCTCTGGACTGGTCCCTGGGCTGAAAGGATATGGAGTCTCCAACAGACTGCCTAAAGCAGCAAAGAGGAAGCGAGAGGAAGGAAAGAGAGTGAATGAGCAGGACACAGAGGTAGAACTAAAACAGGATGACTCACAACTAACCGTCCACAACTCATAAGAGGACAGGTGTATAACAGACTCGCAGAGTTAAACAATGAACACTGAACTTTAGAAAGGCAAAATAATCATCCACCTCAGTTTGCTATCAGTGTGTCTCAGTGTCTCACAAATGTGACTTAAAAACACAAACTAATTTACAAAAAAAGGGTTCAGTTTGCTTTTCATTTCAGAACAGGGCTAAGAAGGATAACTGAGGTAAACTGAACGTCAAAAACCACTGGGAACAAAAGAGCCAACAAAATATTCACATTTGTTAACGACAGAATATCTGACGGGTTATTGATTTTAACTTTTCATGTTTTGTAAACAACAGGAGTTATTAATGAGCATCTAAATCCATTATATTGTGTCGCAGAGGTAACTTCATATCTATGCATACATGTGAACTATGAAATGATGTTGTTATATACTGTGCAGCACTAAATCTCACTATGTACAGCCTGCAAGGTAAACTGTGTGTTTCTTTACTTTACTTCTTTAGGTTTAAAGATAAGAAGCTTATTTTAGAAACTGGCTTTAGAACAAACCATGAGTCTGCTAACCCTAAAAAATAAAGAAAACTCTGAGCTTCCCATTTTTGAGAGGAAGGTAACGTGAACCCATAGAAGAGGGGTAACTCAAACCTGTTTCAGAAGGGAGGTCATTTGAGGTCATTTTGACTGCTGAGTCAGTTACCATGATCACTGAGTTTGTGAATCTGACCTGGTTAGCAAGGTTTTCTTCTTTGAACTTCAAGTTTCTCACAGTTTCATTTCCACATACGTTCAGTGATCCTGGATCTCTCTTGATGCTACAACAGCCATGCATTTCTTCATGAAAGTATGCCCACACATACACAAGGATCTCCAGCTCGAGTAGGATGAAGGAGGAGGCCCGCTGTCACATGTTACCATGGTGAATCAATGTATTGAACTCCATTAATACTCTCTTTTTATAGTCAGGGTGCATGTACCGAACTCTAGGTGAACCTGCTCAGACTACCTCGAACTAACTCAAATCAGCTGTTCTGGCACTGAAAACTTCATTTCCTACCTGAGGGTACGCAGGATCAGAGTTCAGAGTTCGACTCAGAGCTTGTTGAACCTCCTTCCTGAAAAAAGCCCCTGGTCTCCGGTCCTTTTGTTTTCTCCTAGTCCCTTTTCTTTTTTTGCCCTAATCGTCATCCATCTCAATCCTTCCTTTTGTTAAAGCTGTCTCTCACATCTTCTTTGTCCTGCTGTACTCCTCTACCAGTCCATCATGTGATCAGCATGACATCACCACTCCAAGTAAGTCTGACCTTAATCCAAACATGCTGACACCACACAAAGCTTTACAACAATGAGTGGGTCAGAACCTGATCAGAATACTGGCAGTCACTTCATGAGCTGCTACAGATGAGCAGTGAAAGCTCAAACTCAGCTGATAGCTTTTTGATTGGTTATTAAAACCCAATTTTTCTAAGGTGTTGATATCGATTATAAGATCAACATGTAGCCAGAAAAATACAAATATTGCTCTGTATGTTAAATCTGAATGTAAATCACAACAATTGTATAAGAAAATACTAATCTGCAGATAATCTGTTGGTTTGGTATTGATCTTTTTGACCCAAAATGGCTTAAAAAGTTTTCATGTTTTCAAGTCCCTTACCAGTTTCCGAATAGGAAGAATCCGTCATAGGCGTGCCTGGAGACTGGCAGCGAATGGGACAGCTTGATCCCTCTGACTCCTCCTCTTCCTCCTCTTCTTTCATCACCTCATCCAAGTCTTCTTCCTCATCCTCCTCTCTTGCCCTTCCTGTACATCCCTCCCTTCCTCTGCCGCTGAGCGAAGCTTCTTCAATAAGCCCGTGTCCTCCTCCATCTTCACTCTGAGCGGGCGAGAGACTCTGAGTGTGTGTGAGCGTGTTCGTCTCGTTGAGGTTTCGAGTTTGGGCTGCGAGAGCTTGAGGGTTACTGAGATTATCACAGAGGTCAACCCCGCCCACCTGGATGTGGGACATTCCTGTGCCCTCCCTCTCAAACTGGCCTGCAGAGAAAGTGAAGGATTAACTGTGATTACAATACAATTCACAGAAAGACAGCCAAGAAAATTCACAAATGGCAAAGTTCCCAGCTTTAACAGCAAGGGGCCCATAAGGTGAAATCACAGGAGGTTTGTAGGTCGTATGGAGTATTTGTAAATTAATGGCTGCAAATAGTCAAATTATGAATGTTTACTTTTTAATGTTTGTACATTTTAATCATTACGGGGCAGTCAATGATTGATGATCCTCCTTTTCTTTTGAGTAAACTCTACAGTATGTTTGTCTTTCAGTTGACTCAGGAGCATTTTGAGCAACTTGAGATGAAGCTACAACAGCACAGAGAAAAAATCTGCCTCTCAATCTTACTAGCTTTATTACTACTATATTGTGTTACTGTGTGTAGTACTAAAAAAATGGTTTTATACTTATTGTGTTGCTTTGATGAAACTTTAACACTTACCATCCATCAGGCCCAACCCTCTCAATTCTGACCCCTCAGGCTGAGGTCAGTGCCGCCTATTAGACAATCCCTCCTTCAAGTCTGCAGAGATACGGAGAAGGAGACATAAGACAGACCATATCACTGACAGAGAGAACAAGGAGAGAAGATAAAGTCAGTCTCAACTGACAGTGAGATCCAGAAAGTGAAAACAACCAAACAAGTAAAGCGTCATTCCCGAGTTTTCAAACATACCCCAAGGCCTAACAAGATTTTTGAAAGCCTTCAAAAGTGAAGCAGTCTTTTCAAAACCTGTACCTCATGTTCAGCCAGAATTACCTATACACAAATAATGATGTGCAAAAATGAAGAAAATAAATATTTACAAGAAAAACAACAGAATATCACACTCTTTTTATGGTTTCAGTGCCCAATAAGGAAAATTTTGTGTTCTGACACAACTTATCAACAACTGCTTCCTCCAAGAATTGAGCTGCCTTGAAGGGAACTCTGGAGGCCCAATTATTGGAAGCAAGGCTCACATTTCTGCAAACTTTTGTTTTGAAAATCAAATATGTCCATAAAACCTGCTTGTAAAGCTGTTGAAAAGAATCTGTGACATGAAACTATAAACCCAGAGTGTGAGGTAGGAGAGGGACCTGCAGACTTTTACAAGGTGGCTGTGATGCTCTGAATTTGCAGAGGAAAGATTTATGATGGAGCAGAGCAGTGACAGTGACAATTTACAGCGTGAGAGGAGAGAAGAATAAAATATGACGGAAGACAAGAGACAAGTCAGTGAATTATATATTGTCTGCACCTTTTTAAGATAGAATTTCCTTCACTACAATCAGGTGTGTGTCAGATTTTTAAAAAATAGAGTTCCAAAACTGAATATAAAGTTAAAACAACACCTTTTTAGCACAGTTGAAAGGATAACTTCCTTTTGACAGGATTTATTAAAGGGCTGCTGCAGACTGCTGTAGATGGCACAGATGTACAAACAGGTAAATCAAGCAAAAAAACTTTGCTTCCTCTCAAAAGTCTGACAGTTCACTTAGCAACATTTTAAGTACAAACGCTGAGGCACACATGTCTCCTTCAACTTTTTTTTTTTCATTGTTGCACCTCACAAAACATCTCCGGGGGTCACTTTCACGATCCAATGTAAACTTGTGCATATTTGCGTGACACTCATTAAAGTCACTGACTGAAACGCTTGCATGGCATGTCAAGGAAGGGCACAGTCAAATATCGCAACACTGACTTTCACCATATAGAAAGTGAGACATTTTATTGATAACAAACAAAGTGCTCTTTTCAGATGTTCAGTAAACTGTCCTCTGGAAAGTAGGGGTGGGAGAAAAAAAAATCGATAGTAGCGTGATATTTTGTCTGGTGATAAATCGTATCATCCCATTTACCAAGTATTGATTTTTTCAAATTAATTGCAAATAAGAAGTTAAATCTATGATAATAGAAAAATAAAATCAACTGTTTGTCCAGTGAAGTTGGCAGAGGTGACATCGTAGAGCAGGAGAAAGTTAGTCCAACAAACAAGGTTTACAAGATGTGCTACATGAAAATAAAATACAGCGTAAATAAGACAAACATAAAGGAAAGAAAAATACGAAATTAGCCAAACACTTGAAAAAAAATGTATAAATCGCAATATATTGTATCACAATACTCATTGTATTGCAAAAGGTCAAAAATCGATATAATATCGTATCATGGCCCAAGTATCTTGATAAAATTGTATAATAGGGCCACTGGTGATTCCCACCCCTAATCAAGAGCCAATAATCTCATCGTATGTAATCAGTTCATTGAACATATTGAGCCCTTTTACTACTGTTAAAGACACTTTTAGCCTGAAACTGCCAAACACAGACACACACACACACACACACACACACACACACACACACACACACACACACACACACACACACACACACACACACACACACACACACACACTCATCCAGGCTAATAAAAGCCAACCTCAAAGGAATAGTGCTGTCCTGGTTTTCTTCCAGATCTAAGTCAATTGTTCCTCCTGTAACCCTGTATTTATCCATGTTAGCCTCATGGAAAGAGAACTTTGATTACGTACATTCATATTCTTGCTGGATCATTTATCAACATCCTGCATTTCATCATGTATGTATATCAGAAAAAGTCCAGTCCTTCAGCTTTTGGAAATACCTTTTTTTGTGTGTCTGAAGACATGCATGAACTTCTGGAATGACAGAGTCATCTTGCCTTTATAATGCACAGGCTCCTCATACTAGAACAGGAGGTCACACCCTTGGATACGTGCCATACCCAAATGGGTCCGTTTTCTGGGTCTTAACTTGGTTGTTGAATGTCTACATACTCAGAGCTCTAAATCTCCCAATGGAAGATCAAACAGTCACAGCAGGATGACAAACTACTGTGACATTAAGTCTTATGCCGTAACAAACTCAACAGTGTACACACTGCCGTCACTGTACCTGTCATAAATCTTGCTTATGCTTTGTGAATACTGAGCATTTCTATCCCCAGTGCTGTTAAATGTCCGTCTCCCACAGAGCCACTCTGTCACTCTTCTTTTTGTCTGTGCTCTACTCCCCTGGGGACCATGAATAATACAAGACAGAATAAGGGACAAACAGACTGGGAAATTCAGCCAAAGGAAAAAGACAAAGGTATACGAAACTGACCCTGTCCCGTAAAGAGACTACAAGAGTGTAGGCCTCCACAAAAATACCAAAAAAAGAGCCGGAAATTTTATGGCAAGAGGACAAGCAAGTTTTATGCATTAGGTGTGTCCATAGGGGTGGTATGGACTACTCGTGAAATCTGATCTGCCAAATCTGGTGCTGCCCCAAGATCCTGAACTATGATTGCCTGTTTGTCATGTCAGAGGCAGGACTTGTGTTAGAATTAATTATTTGGGCCGTGTTGCAAAAAGGGACAAGTAGATATTATGTTTTAATACATTTATCCTTTTATGCCATCACTTGCAACTGTGTTGAAGTCAAACACTATGATTGAACAGTGTACTAGTCTACTGTTTGAGGGTCTATTGTCTCATTTGGCATATCTTGAGTGCATCCTTCACGTGTTAAACTGACATATTTGGTCTACAAATGTGTCCTTTGTAGGCTGCAGTCCCTAGAATCGGACACAGGGCTAGAATAGGTCTTTAGAGCATGTGTACATGATTCATGCCACCCCTGCGTGAGTCAGTGCCCCAGCTGGGCCACCCTAGCCCCCGAAAAATATAGACACGCCCATGTTCACAGGTTCCGGAGGCTAGTTTAAATTTGGCCGCTTGCAAAGTACTAACAGGACAAGAGTTTGACTAAATGCTCAGTGGCAAATGATGGATTATATGATGGTCCTGGTTTAGAAACGGGGTAAATGCCAGGCAGTGACAGAAACAAATATGAGGTGATGTGAGGCGACAGCAGCAGTGACTCATTTTACCCATAAAACAGACACTGAATCTGCTGACGTTTGGTAAAGTCTCATTAGCCTGCTAAATAACGTAGCCTGAGAGGGCACTAGCCTGTTTGCTATCGCTACGGTTCGAGCACTTAAATGACAGGCTCTTTCTTTCTTAATAAACTGGTACAAAACGTCCAGGCAAAGCTAATGAGTCCTCACTGGCTAGCTTCACATTAGCAACACAAAATGTGACCTTTAAGTTCCCTTCATCGTGAATGTAGCTGCACTTGCTACCTAACGTCAGCTAGCAGAGAGGGGTAAACATCTGGCCGTCACGCCGTGGAGAAAGCGTATAAAATAGGCTTGTAAACCTTCATATAAAAACGCCACCTATCTAACAACTAGGCCTTCACACCCACGGAGACAAAGACAGTGAAGCGGCACTTACGGCTGTGGCGGTTGTTTGAGTTGTAAAAGCCGGAGCATCAAACGCAGGGCTGGGGTTGTTGTTGTGATGAGTGTCGCTGCTACAGACTGACAGTCAGGGGTCGTTACTATCGCTGTCATCAGGCCTGACTGTCCTCTGTTGGTGGAGAGGCTGCGAGGTGTCGCCATCTTCTGTTTCTGTACTGTTAGTGCATCATTGACCTCAGCATGAGACTTGTTCACTTCCAGTAAAGGTTGAAGAAGAAATTTCTCGCAGCTGATCACCCTCTTTGCTGAGTGGATGATTGGCTTCAGTCTGGCTTTGGCCCTGGCAGTGCCAACAGTGTGGCGGACTGTGATGGAGGAGGTGAGGATCAGTGACAGCGCAAAAGTGCACTATCATTGTCTTTGGCAGCACATCAAACTATTTGACCTTAAGCTTCTAGTCTGATCCACCAGTTTTCTTTTTGTCAGGCCAAGCAGCATTGCACTAACTCCCCTGGCAAACAATTGGTCCAAGCAAGTTCATGCAAGAAAATTGTTCTTTCAGAGTGTATGTCTTACTTTGCATAAATCACATACAGTGCCTTGAAAAAGTATTCATCCCCCTTGAACTTTTTCACATTTTGTCACTCTACAACCACAAACTGAAAAGTATTTTGTTGAGAATTTTTGTTGTAGACCAACACAAAGTAGCACATAATTGTGAAGTGGAACGAAAATGATTCATGGTTTTCAAAAATTTAAAGAAATAAAAATCTGAAAAGTGTGGTGTGCATTTGTATTCAGCCCCCTGTACTCTGATACCCCTAAATAAAATGCAGTGCAATCAATTGCCCTCAGAAGTCACCTAATTAGTTAAACGAGTCCACCTGTGTGTAATTTAGTATCAGCATAAATACAACTGTTCTGCAAAGGCCTCAGTGTTTTGTTAGAGAACGCTAGTCAGCGTTCAAGACCAAGGAACTCACCAGACAGGTCAGGGAAAAAGTTGCGGAGAAATTTAAAGAAGGGTTAGGTTATAAAAGAATATCCAAAGCTTTGAACATTTCAAGGAGCACTGTTCAATCCATCATCCAAAAATGGAAGAAGTAAACCACAACTGCTAACCTAACAAGACATGGCCTTCTACCTACACTGACAGACCGAGCAAGGAGAGCAGTGGTGAGAGAAGCAGCCAGGAGGCCCATGGTCACTCTGGAGGAGGTGGGAGAATCTGTCCACTGAAGGTGCTCTGGTCAGATGAGACCAAAGTTGAACTTTTTGGCCTGAATGCAAAGCGCTATGTGTGGCGGAAAAGTAACACTGCTCATCACCCTGAACACACCATCCCCACTGTGAAACATGGTGGTGGCAGCCTCATGCTGTGGAAATGCTTTTCTTCAGCAGGGACAGGGAAGCTGGTCAGAGTTGATGGGAGGATGGATGGAGCTAAATACAGGGCAATCCTGGAAAAAAAACCTGTTGGAGGCTGCAAAAGACTTGAGACTGGGAAAGAGATTCACCTTCCAGCAAGACAATGACCCTAAACATACAGCCAGAGCTACAAGGGAAAGGTTTAGATCAAAGAATATTCATGTGTTAGAAAGGCCAAGTCAAAGTTCAGACCTAAATCCCATTGAGCATCTGTGGCAAGACTTGAAAATTGCTGTTCACAGATGCCCTCCATCCGATCTGACTGAGCTTGAGCTATTTTGCAAAGAAAAATGGGCAAAAACTTCAGTCTCTAGATGTGCAAAGCTTGTCCAGACATACCCCAAAAGACTTGCAGCTGTAATTGCAGCGAAAGGTGGCTCTACAAAGTATTGACACAGGGGGGCTGAATACAAATGCACACCACACTTTTCAGATTTTGTTTAGATTTTTCTAAAACCATGTATCATTTTCGTTCTATTCACAATTATGTGCTACTTTGTGTTGGTCTATGACAAAAATCTCAATAAAATACTTTTCGGTTTGTGGTTGTAGAGTGACAAAATGTGAAAAGGTTCAGGGGTTTGAATACTTTTTCAAGGCACTGTAGGTACAGTTACCTCAAGGTTTCTTCTCATGTCCAAAAAAAGCATAAGAAAACAAAGATGTTTAAACTTTAAGAACTTGACTGTGTGCAACCACGAAAGACTGTAAATGTCAGGTCAAAACAGAGACTTTCAAATGAGAACAAGTTTGTTGAAATCATTTATTCGTATATGGCAGAAACCTTTCTTCATCTCACAAGCATCACTCTCATTACAGTATAGTTATATGAAGACACACAGTTTAAAGAGAAGCTTATTGCAACACTTTTACAAAAAAATATACAGGCCATTCAGTAAAAATATTCCTACTGCTCCTTGCTTGCGCTGTTGTTTGGTGGTTATATTAAGTAATACATGTGAACACTGCACTTCCTTCATGCATTTGAGTTAAGTATGGGTAACTTTCCTTATTATAAGATGCTCTTGATGACCTGGTCCAGCCATTAAACTTTAAGGAGCTTCTCAGGCATGCTTTTGACAGTTTTCATTAATATAATGAAACTAATCCCAAGAGTTTAATTCTGCAACTATTTTCTAAATCAATAGATGGCAGAAAAATGTCTGATTCAACAGCAAAGAACCATTAAGCTTGAATTTATCTCCTGTTTCATTTCATAGGAATCCAAGTCCTGAACAAAATACATTTAAAGTAATCCTTCCATATCCCATCAGCTCAGTGAGTCACAAACATTTACATCATTTTAAGAAATGTTTTTGTAACAAAGGTATTTTTGCAGCCTTGCTATTCTGCATTCTTATATATCAATTGTGCCTGTATCTTTTAAGTGTCTATGTCACAACAGCATACATTACATCATTTGTATTAAATACTTTAAATTATGTAGTACATTTTTTTGTTTGCATTTTATTTTCTTTCTAAAAAACTATATCAATGTGTGTGTATGTTTTATCCCCAGCCTTCTCTCTGTGTGTTCTCTAGAATCTCATCATAGAGCCAGCTCTGTGTAAACTCCTGACTCTTGTCCATTAGCTGGAATAGTCTAAGATACTCTTGTGGATATACGTGGCCTGTCAGTACATCCTCTGGAAGGCCTATCTCAGACAACAGCTTACTCCCACTATCTGGTGACCAGAGGCTAAAAGAAACACAAAAGAGGGAAAATGAGCCAGAGAAAAAGACGTGCGATTCCACTGTATGACAAATATGCTCGGAGAATCTTTAATCCTTCAGCTAAGATTGGTTCTTAGAGCAATACTTACTTGAGTCTGTCAATAAGCTTGGCTTTTCTCTTGGCCAGACACTGTTTGATCATCATGAGCAGAGTTGAAGCATTAGCAGGACTGAGACCTGCAGAGAACAGATCAGCCCGGGGACGCAGGCGCACCAGGCACAGGTGGTCATTGGGAAGCTGCGAGAGACAGAAGCAGACATTTAGAGTAGGTGTTTAACAGATGGATCCATCCCACTTTATACTACTGTTGTTAAGTCTCTTTTCTCTCTCTCTTACCATGCTTTTTGGGACAGATGCACCCTGTCTAGAGGATGTCACAAATGACCCCCATGGTTCCTGCACAGACAAAGAAAATGAGGTTGTGAACTTGAACTTGATGAGTCATTCAATTAGCATTACCTACATTATTTTGATTTTTCTCTGTTGTTTACACCAAGAATTTGTTTATTAGGAGTGTTTTTAGTCACTACTACATTTTCATTCAAATGTGCTTTTCTGTCGTTGCTGTGAACAGTTTGAATTTCAGCTGTATTATTTTGATACTTCAGCAATGACACTGAATGTCTTCCCCACCTTCCCCTCATACTGTACCTTGTGCAGCAGTTCAACATCGCAGGCCATCTGCCAAAGGACACTGAAAGCTCTGTAGTTCCTCATATCTCCAGGAGGTGACACCAGTTTCTGAAAAATAGGTGATCAAATTATCTTTCAAAGAAGAACGTCGTCAACCAGACAGGTTTAGCAGTAACCTTATCTGTAAATGGGCTGTTTCATAACTATCTACATGTATGCAAAAAAGCTGGTTATACCCGGTGGTTAATAAAATAATTCTAACAAATAAAGAGGAAAAAAATATATCAATCTTTTACCAAATATTCCTTCTCGCTCATGAAGAAGTTCAGCTCTATTCTTCCATATCTGAAGACAGACAGGCGCTCAAACAAAGCATAAACCATCTTCAGTAGCAAGCCCCGCTCATTACGCTGTGGCAGGATGCCCACCACCTTCACTGGGATGTCTGCAGAGAAACCGATATCATAAAGTTAGAAACAGAACACACATTTCATATCTACACAATACACTGTTTTGAGTCAAGAAGGTTGTGTGTAGCTTAATGCAATCTTGTAGCTGCTGTTATTTTATCTTTTAACCCAAAACCCATCAAGCTTAGGAATTGATCTTTCCTTATGAAACCTGAATCATCGCAGTGTCCGTAGTTAGCTGTACTGCTTGTGTGTGTGTTTGAACATGTTTTTTCCTTACCATCCGCCCAGCTTGTTTCTGATATTCCCAGGTCGGTGAACAGTTTGTCGGTGAACATGGCGGGAGGTTTTACATTTCCATTACCAATTGGATCTAGTTTAAAGTAATCACAGTGAACCACTTCCAGCTGACCATCAAGACGGCCTTCCAACTCCTGCAACATGTAAACATAGTTTATTCATCCAAGTGCTGCACAAAGTACGAGGGGGTTGATAATTGAAATGATACGACACACATATAGAAACAGTTTTCGATGCTCATAGATGGTTATGTTACCTGTAGATCTTGTAAGAAGGTTTTATCCCCTACGAGAGCCACAACTCTCTGAGCTCCAGCATTGAGAAGAGTCTTTGTTAACACCCCAGGACCTAAAAAGACAGACACACAAAACAAGTTTACCTCATTATTGTTATTTGACAAAGGAAACTATTTGTACAAACAATTTTCTATTGCTCCCTAGGCAAAAAAAAAATTGTTTTGCATAATATAACATTAAAATTACACTCCACAAAACACACATTCTAAATCTGTCTCATATCTAACACTGTGCAGATACATACCTGGGTTACATTCAAAGATAACAGTTTTAGGATCCTCAGGTTCCAAGTGATGGGCCACCAGTTTTGCCAGCTCAGGGTCTACAAGGAAATATCTCATTGCTTTACAGGCCTGAGCACGGCGGATGTTTTCCTCGACCTCGCCAAGGTCCAGAAAGTCATATCTGCACAAGGGACGGCACTGGCCCTGGTGAAAGAAGTGCAATTAATAGAGAGCGCTAACAGTCTACAACATATGTAAAAAAAAAAAATCTGTCTATATCAGATGCAGATCCAAGATACTTTTGGGACAAGGGCACAAATACAAAGGTCAAGTTGTAAATGATCATCTTACGGCGCAAAATTGTCAAATATTAAGGTGAAGCACAAGACAAAAGTATGTCAAGAAAACTGATAACAGGGCCGTAATATCTCCATAACAGTCTGCAAAATCCTCGCAGACCATCATGAGAGGCAGGGCTGTGGTGTTGGGAGAAGATATATTTGGGCTGTTTTTATCGACTTTCGTTCTTATAAACATCAGTGAGCTTTAGAGGAATCCAGTAAAATCAAAAGTAAAGAGCCTACCTGCACAGCCACCGCTGACAGGTTCCTGTGTGCGAGAGCTGAAGAGGGTGATGCTCTCTCTGCCAGGGGCTGTTGGGGGGATGGACCAAGTGTTAGCCGGCTAGGACCTGAAGAGAGTGTGTCCAGGCTGTAGGCCCGTCTAATCAGGATAGGAATCCCTTGAGTACAATGGCCAGAGGGAGCCGCTGGTGCCAGCACTGCTTTATGCAAACAAGACCTTCTTCTGATGTTGTGGCAGCAAGAGGAGCGCATCAGCAGCTCCACTGCTCTACAAAGCTGGTTAGACATGGTGGACCTGGGACGGGGTGTGGGGGTAGGGAATTATTGGGAGGACCCCTTAGAGAGATCAGGGGGTTGGAGGGAAAATGAACATGAGATGTGAGATTTATTTGAGGAAGGTTAGTCTACACATCAGCACATTTATCAAACCACTCTATCCATCCTACAATTGGATGATCGTTAATCGCATAGAATCACTGCTAAAACCCTGCTAAAGTGGATAAAACCCCTACTAAATAGCTTAACATACGGGTTTCAACTGTAAAAGACGAGCTTAACACGTTCCATGTTCCGAAGTGAGTAGAAATCTCTTGATCATCTGTGCACCACAGTGAAGTACAGTATGTTCTTACACGTGGGGAGGTAAACTTTGACGGCTTAGCCCTGTTGGCCTCACCAGGGAGATACTGACTGTCTGTCACCCCTAAGTTCAAAGATTATGTTGCACCAGCTTATCAAAAAGCAAACAAGAACTTTATGCGTAAAGTGATAGATCAGTTTGGTAAGATATCAAATGTGTTAGCCGTCTGACTAGCCGGTTGCTAGCGTCATTTCCCACTAAAGTGCATTTAGTATCATTTCTAAAGGTGAAACACAGACATACCTCGGTGCAGAAGATCCTATCAGGCAGAATGTAGTGGCATCAGCTATCTAAATGTGGATCCTATCTGATGACTCGTCGGTATACCTCCATGACATTGAGACTTCTGTGTCCCTGCCACCCGCAGGTTGTTTTCGCAACTCTCGTGGTATTAGCAAGTTCAGGCGCAGGTGATTGTCGTCATTATCACGTGAGTATCGACAGAACCAATCAGAAACTCGAGGAAGTCGTCTCGCTCATAGATATCTATAAAAAAAGGCTAGATGACTCGAGAGGGAGTCAGTGGCGTCCCCACACGGCGGCCATCTTACTCCAGTATATGATTCCGGTACGCTTTATGGTAGCTGACGGGAGGAGAGTGATCTGCATGATCAAAAATACTCTTAACACGCTGAAATCTTCACAGATTTACACATGGTTTTCTTTATTACAGACCTTGATAACGTGGCTATGAGTTGAGTTGCTTGAACATATTGAAATGGCAGATTTTCTTTGATTAAAAAAAAGACTTTATCGTGCAGCACAATTGTGTCACGGCTATTTGCGAGCAAGGGCTAACTTTTGAGTAACTTTGCGTGAGTTGTTAAGGCAGACCACAATCTAGATTTTAATTTCTTGTATGACAGCCTATTATTTATATATTTATTTCTTTAGTTAGTTAGTTAGTTAGTTAGTTAAGTGACAGTCTTCGCGGATGTGCTTGTGTTTATCAGCTGGCTAAAAGGCTCACCGTTAGTGAGACCAAGTTCATATTACAAAGTCGACTCAGCAATTTTACATCAGTTAGAGAGGCAGAAATGCTCTTTCAGTTCAACATAACTTAAGTTGCACATGATTTCCAAGCTGTTTTGTTTGTTAAAAATATCTAAAAGGGCAACATGAGGCAGAAATTTATATTGAAAATAAATATTCATGTATGTTATGAATGCTATAAGTTTAATATAAATATTCCTTTAATAGAAATATTACCAATATAACATACATGGAATGATTAAATGTTTCTTATATAAATGATAAACTGCCTTGTGTGTGTAGGCCTATGGCTATTGCTCAAACTACATGCTTAATGTTTATATATGAAAATCCATGGTTGAAATTGTTCTTGAAGGAGGAACATAACTAAAACTCTGAGGTTTGTTACAAACCAAACCGTTTGAAAATCTGTTTAAAATTAAGAAATCTATGGTTATTTTAATGCTACATGTACCGTAGACTGTAATGTTATGAGTGGGTGAGCGTCCCGTAGCAAAATGGCCGCCATGCGCGGACGTCGGTCTAACAGCGTGCGTAAACCATCTAGCGTTTATATGTATATCTATGATGAGGATATCGCCAGAACCAATCAGAAAGTCGAGGAAGTCGGATACGCACATGCACTAATGCTTGAAAAATAAACGAAATCTGACAGACGACACTTTTGTTTGAAAAAATAACTATAGATCAAATAATAATTATTATTAAATAGCACCAACTGTGTTTGATACGGTAGTTTAAACAGCTGTTGTTGTACATATATTTGCGCACATTAGCATTTGTTGCTAAGGAAGTGGCTACAGACTCTAAAGTGCTCGCAGTCCTGCTGATCCCTATCAGTCCAGCAGAGCAGAGGTGCAGGTGTGGCTCTGAGCTCCTCCACGCTGTTTCACTGTCACTATGGCTCGCGTTGAAACTACTCCCAGCAGACCGTACCACCTGGTTATCTTCGGTGCCTCCGGCTTCACAGGACAGTTTGTGGTGGAAGAGGTAGCCCGAACTGTGTCCGAGGGTCCAGGAGGGAACCTAAAATGGGCCGTGGCAGGCAGGAGCAGACAGAAGCTGGAAAAAGTTCTGGAGCAGGCCGCTGGAGTCCTCAGTATGTATCTGAACCCAGGCATTGCTCATGCACACAGAAGCATATTGTCTCTAAAAACTAAAGCAGTGAAACAGCAGAGCATCTTTTTAGTGTTTAAATTAAGTGTTTTTCAGAGGTAAGGCTGTTACTCTGGAGAGCTGTGCTTTTAACCTCATTTTCCAGGAATGCATTGTCTTGTGATAAGGAAAATTAGAGTCCATCTGTCTCACAAGAGAGCCATACGCAGTCTGACTTTGACCCTCAACGTTGACTGAACTCCAAAGTTCAAGAGAAGTTGCAATAGAGTTGACAGAAAAACGTATTTTTGCAATTCATTTCCACTATTATGAAAGGGTGACTAATCTAACAGTGAGTCACTATTTTGTGCTGAGGGTTTGTTCAATGTTCATATCAGTCTGTATCAACTCGAACATATGTCTAAAGTTTGTCTTTATCAGCTGATCAAACTTGAGTATTAACAGAAAATGTGAAACAGAAACTCTTTGCTTTGCTTGGACCCTGTCTGAAAATGAAACTACCAGCTGCAAACTGCCTGAACTTTCACTTTAACTATATTGTTCAAACTTGTTAACGTGTAAGATATTGTGAGATGTTTCATTGATGACAGAAATATTATATCATATATAAAATGGATTAAAGAGCATCATCTGTTTTATATTTAAAAGATAGTCATTCCGCTCCTGTCGACATAACAAAATCAACTTCACCCGAACACTTTCAGTTTTGGAGGTGTGACAAATGTTTACTAAATATATTTGTAATGCCAGTAATTTTCCAGACTGAATTGTTTTATTTGTATCCATGCAACTCTCTAAACATAGCAAACAAAATCTCTCTCTCGATCAAAGCCAGAGAGCTACTTTGCAGCTGTGATCGTGTTATTGGTTCCAGAGGATTAGGGGGGTATTCTTTGGTCCCCTGCTCTTTGGCTTCTTCCTCAGGGAGTGTACAACAGCTGATGGAACATACCTGCCCACAGTGCAGCGTCCAGCCATGAGAGCACCCACAGGACCTGATGAGTTAGTCATCCACTGAACAACTGCAGGATGTCTGCTTTTTTTTGACAGTAATTTGTCTTTACTCCTGATATAACCATGAGTTTTGTTTCCTTGCTCCTTCTCTTTTGGGTTGCCCTTTCTTTACATTTAAATGAAAATCACACAAGCGACCAGAAAAACACAACATTTATTTTAGTAGACCGTTCTGCAAAGACTAATGTCGAAGAATTTAGCTACACTGTGAGTAAGAAACAAACCATAGTGCATAACCTGTGTGTCCGTCTGTGCAGGTAAACCAGAGCTGAGGACTGAGGTGGACATTATTGTGGCAGATGTAGGAGAACCAGACTCTCTGGCAGCCATGTGCAAACAGGCTGTGATTGTCCTCAACTGTGTGGGGCCTGTAAGTACACTACTCGAATTTGTGTGCTGATTTTATTTATTTTTTAACTTAAGTTATCTTTAACAGAGATATAAACACAGAGGAACAGAACTTGTGCTGCACATGGTCTCATCTCCCTTTTGCATCAGTGTAGCAGAACTTACCCCCATCTCTCTGTCTGTCTCCCTCTGTGTGTCCCTTTCTCCCTCTCTCTCCAACATACACAGAGCAGCCTTTATTAACACAGTGAGGACTGCTGAGTTACACACAATAACTCCGATTGTGCTCAAATCTGAATTGAAAGAAGGTTTCCATCACTGCTCTGCATCCTGTGCATCATCATTTAGGTTCTTGTTCCAAGCCAAACTGTGTCACTACACTAACCGTTACTTTCATTTTTCTTCAACTGCATATGGAGCACAAATGAAATAATTTAGTTAAACCAGGGTTAGAAGTATTAGACATTAACTTGTAAACCACAGGCTCATTAAATGTTTTAAGGAAGTGTTTATGAGAAAAAAATCTATCACTTAAATAAAGATCACAGACCACAAACAGATGGTGAAGTCTAATGGATAACAAGAATCCTATGATTTATTGTTGACATGTAATTTGTATGACAGTATAATGAGCAAGCTCAACAGGATTTCCTCATCAAGCTAGATCCTGTAAACCAGCATTTGTTTACACTGTCTCTTCAGCAACATGAAGACAAATTAAGAATACAACATGAATTAACTTGTGCGGGTTGGTCTGTGTGTACAGTACAGGTTCTTTGGCGAGCCTGTGGTCAAAGCCTGTGTGGAGAACGGAGCCCACCATATGGACATCTGTGGAGAGCCTCAAGTACGTGCAGGGCGCTACTATTGGCTGTAGTTTACAATGACAGTCACTACATTAAAACCTCCACAGGAGTAGAGCTTGTTTTTTGTTTTGTTTTTTTTTAACCCGAAAAGTAGCAGCCAAAACATTTTTTGAATCTTGAGAGAATTATCTTCACAAATTTCTTTAACTTCTGTTTGATAATTAAATGCCCTGCTATGATACTCAATTTGTATACTATTCCCAACTTTTATCAATTTGCATCAAAAGAGTTTAAGCCAGTTGTTTTGTTTGAACTTGCTTGATATCAGTGGTAATTACATGGTTATATTCCTGCCTAAGAACTTATAATGTTGGTTTTGGCTGGATATAATGAAAGTTGTGTTGAGTTTTAACTTGTCACTTGATTGTTTCATAACTTGGCTCTTGAGCAATGACAAAAGACACAAGTCGCCAAACTAAATGAATAATTCATAAAATTTCGACATCAATGAACAGGAAGTTAGAATGAATATAATGTGTGAAGTCAATGTTAATGGGTAGTGTGTATGTGGGTGTCCAAGCAGGTGGAGAGAGAGGCTGCAAGAAGCTGGTTTTTATTTTCTTAATGAGTGCTTCAGATCTCACATGATTTAAGAATCAGCTCCTCTGATACCTGCAATAAAATATCTGCAGATTATACATATGACCACCAGAACATAAACATACAAGCAGATGCTGTCACATCTGACAAAGACACAAAAACATGATCTCCATGCTTGTAATAAACCTTCAATAACCAGCTGTTTTTTAATACCCTTTTATTAATTGTCTGACTGTTTGCAGTTTCTGGAAGGGATGCAGTTGAACTACCACAGCGAGGCAGCAGAAAAAGGTGTCTACATCATCGGAAGCTGTGGTTTCGACTCCATACCTGCAGACATGGGGGTCATCTACACCAGGGACCAGTTCAGAGGTATCAACATGCATGTGACACTCACGCACACTCACACAGACAAGAGAACTAAAAAACAAAAGTCTCTCAGATATCGTAACGTGAAATGATACATCCACTATCTTTCTGCTGCTGCCAATGTGAACTCATTTTCATATCTTAATGTGTGCATGTGTGTGTCCTTCTTTGTGCGTTTATCTACAGGAACACTGACTGCAGTGGAGAGCTTTCTAACCGTCAACTCAGGACCCGATGTATGTAACTCCATTACCCATAAGTCTATGCAGTACTCTTGCTTTTCATCTATCATTTGATCACCTGCTTTTCTCCTAATTTTGCTAGTTTATGTGCACTCACTTTTTATATTCCTCAACATTTTTCCCTCCTTTCTGAAAAGTGTCTCATTTTCTCTTTCTCTGTATTCACTTTCTCCATACTTACCCTTTTGTATGTGTGTGCGTTTGTGTATGTGTAGGGTGGATGTATCCATGATGGCACATGGCAGTCGGCCATTTATGGGTTTGCAGACGGTCACAAGCTCCAGAGTCTGAGGAGGAAGTTTAACCACAAACCTCTCCCTACAGTTGGCTCTAAGCTCAGACGCAGGTACTGAGAGCAGTAACTCTTTAAACCACAGAAATCAAACGATTAACTTTTCCTGTTTGACAAACTTGGTCAATGATTTTCAGACACTAATCTGTGTTAACATTTCGAGTATTGACACTGTTTGAGAGGAACACAAAGACAAATGAACTAATAAAAAATAAAATGACTTTGTATTATATAATTTAATAATTAATCAATTGAACAATATATCATAGGAATACAGCAGCCGAGTCTTTTTTCAATCTAGGCAGTCCAAGTTACACATTAAGCCGGACTTTGTGAAGTTAGAAAAACAAACTAATCAGTGCTCTCTAGTGGTCAAATCATGTAGTGTCTCTTAAACACATAATCTTTGTATTTCAACTACAATTTTCTTTTACCTATTAAAGTTTATACCGATACAGCTTAACCGACACGACAAAGCAACAGCTGGAACATTTAATCAGGGCATAAACCTTGGACACCTTTTGATAACTGGTTGATGAAAAAGAAATCAGTTTTCCCACCAGGCTGAAACCCACAGGCCTTAGAGAAGATGACAGCATATACCTCACACTCTCATCACTGAAGACGTGTTTCCTCAGCTTGTATTTCTGTGCATGTGTGTATTTGTAGGGGAACGCTGTTCTACAGTAATGAGATCCAGCAGTATACAGTGCCCTTCATGGGCTCTGACCCCTCTGTTGTAAGGAGAACTCAGCGCTTCTTGTCAGAGGAACACCAGAACACACCGGTCAGTCTTTCACTTTTCTTTGTCTTTGTCATTGTCACACTCAGTGCTTACATTGTATTTCTAACTTTGATTTCAGATTGTGTCACTGACAAATTTTTCTGATAATCAGACTTGTGATCAATCAAATAACCTCAGACTGTCTTTTCTGGTCTTTATTATTGAATTCATGAGTAAAGCAACTTGATAATTTTGCAGGTAGACTTCTTTCAAATAATTTTTTCTGGTATAAACACTATAAATACTATACACAACAGCTACTGACCTTCTTCTGCTTCTAAAGGGTTAAATAATCTTTTTTTTTTGTGTTCATTTTAGGTCCAGTATGGAGCGTACGCCGGCATTGGAGGAATCGGGAACATTTTCAAGCTGATGTTTGCCGGCATGATGTTCTGGTTCTTGGTCAAGTTCAGTTTTGGACGTAACCTGCTCATAAAGGTGAACAAACTTCATAAAATGTACATCATGCATCACACAGTTCAAGGCTAAAACTTAATATTCTTATATGTTATATTTCACACACTGAGAGCAGAGACATATTTCTGTCGTCATGTCTGACTGTTTTATTTGAACCTGACTTTTAGCACCCAGAGTTCTTCAGTTTCGGACTCTTCTCAAAGGCCGGACCAAGCAGGAAGCAGGTAAAGTGCTGGAAAAAGAAGTCAATACACTTGGTTAATTGTCTCCCATGGTTCTGGTCATTAAATTACAAAATAAAATAGATTTATTTAAGGGAGAAAGAGGCCTAGAAGCTGACACTTTGTTGCTGATTTGCATGGTCGTGTTTTAGATGGAGGCTTCATCATTCCAGTTTGCCCTCTATGGAGAGGGTTACACAGAGGGACAGGACCCCTCCCAGGGGAAACCCAACAACAAGATCCGCACATTGGTTCAGGGACCAGGTAAGCAGCTTATTCTTGGTTTTCTTTAAATACAGTAATTCTGAAAATGATCAGTGTGACCTTCTAAGACATCCATGAATGCAGCTACAAAGCATGAAAAGAAAGTCTGCTTAGTACATGTGTATTATAATATTAACGTGTCTACGTCTTTATTCAGAGTGTGGATATGTAGCCACGCCTATCGCCATGGTGCAGGCTGCTCTAACCATCCTCAATGAAGCTAAAGCTTTGCCCAAGATGTAAGTAACTAAACCTGAAACCCACCGCCTGATCTGGAGATGCCTTTACACACACATACAACTACAGCACCATTTAGATGTTTAAAATGTCACAGGTCCAGTTGACATGTGCTGAGTTTGTTTGAATTGTTGAGATATAAAACTAAGTTTGTTAAATCCATTTTACCAGTCCATGTAAAATCTTGAATTTTCATGAACTAGTTGGTTAATAATCATTAAAGATACAAGGAGAAAGGGTACCAGGATACAAAATAACAGCATTGAAAAACCTTCAACATGTGAGAGTGGGCTTAATAGTTAACTCACTTTGATAGAGCAAGACTTGCTGGTATTTAGCTCAAATCACTACGGCAACTCTCCTGTGCAGTCTTTTTAATCAAATATTTATTACATCACATAAACAAGCCAGAGAAATATGTGTTCCTGTTTCTGCAGAACTTTAGTTTGATAGAATTCCAACAACTTTGTAAGAAACTAGTTCAGGCTTTAACTGAATCCTGTTTTTATTTCTAGGGGAGGAGTGTACACTCCAGGAGCTGCTTTTGCCAAAACCACACTGATCGACCGCCTGAACAAACACGGCATCCAGTTTTCCGTCATCTAAAGTTTGCCCCCTTCCTGATGCTTCACTGCAGGTTTTCCTCAGCACTTACTAATATGCAGAATAACAACAGGCAAGTTTCAAAAGAGCTTTTCTTAGGGTTGCTTTGATTCTTTGTTTCATAGGACAGAAACTTGTCTGTCTCCCTTTAGCTTGAATGTACCTACAAAAATGTGCTTGTATGACAGAAAGCACAACTAGCAAAGAACAGTAAGAGAGTGCTTAAATTTTCCTGTGACATTATCCTTGTTAATAAAATACACCAAAGTCGCAGCTTTGTTCACTTCACTTCTCTCAGCATATTATGGCTCATATTTTTTAGCTAAAAGGATGAAAACACAATTTCTTACCATTCTGATAAAGCAGGTGATAAAAGGGACAACACGCAGGACGCTGTGTGAATTACTCAATTTTAAGTGGCATTACGGTGAAAGAAGAAAACTGATAATCTGACTGTGAAATGAACACATCTCTGCATCCATCTCATCTAGATAAATATGGACTCCTCGTGAGCAAACAGACCTTCACTGAGGTATTCATCCACACTGAAGGAGACAGTCAAACCAGAGATACAATCAAATGATTTTTGATGTCCTGTGTTGTATAGTAGCTGCAGTATAGTGGGCTAAATGCTACACAGTATCAACATATAATGGGAAAATTTGACCGAAGTATTGTGGATTTGAGTTCAGTGAAGTAGAGAAAAGTTAGAGCTCCGGTCATAGTGAACAGTATTTAGTCTAATGAAAAAAACAACCTGCTGTAACTGTAGCAGCTCATGTGCTCTTTTTGTTCAGTGGTGTGAAGCTGTGGACAGAAAAGGTACAGCTGAGAGGTGTAAGGTGAAGAAAGACAAAAACCAAAGTTTTCAGTGTCATGAAGCTGTTACTTAAATTCATATTGACCCAGTTAAGACAAGGTTGTATTTAGAGTTTCAGCTCTGCGTATTTCAGCCTGTTAACTGAATCTCCTCCTGACTATCATTGAAACACCATCTTCTCTCTTCAATCTTATTTTCCTCGTAACTGAACGTCCCAAACTTTTGTTGGATCCAAATGTTTACCAGAGCCCAGGCAGGAAGTGAGTGACTGTGATTCTGCATGTCATTATTGCTGCATGTAGCTGAATGGATCCTCTCTGCTGTTCTGTTAACAAGTGTGGCATTTTTCCTCTTTAACTGGAGTTTTGCTTTGTCTCTTTTGTGAATTGGAGGGGTTTCCTTGCAGGATTGTCAGTCTCAGTCCAGACATGTTCAAGTGTTTGAGCATTCTGTGTGACCAGCTACTTTGGGGTTTTTGTTGGACACATGTCAGACCTAATAAATGAAGCTAACTCTGCTGATGGAGACAATCCTTGAGTCTTTTTCTTACCCAGTTTTGTGTAAGCACACATGATGGGCAGAAAATAATCTGTCAAGGCACAAAAATTTAGCAACATATTTAGAAAAGTAACTCATCACTCATATGTCTTCAATCCCTCACAAAGAGTTACACTAAACTGAAGGTTATTTGTCAGCACTTACTTGTCCTGTGTAAGCAGAAGAATAATCATGTACCTGATTATAGAAAGTCAAAGATTTTTAACACCATGTTTTCAAATAGTATACAGCTACACAATGTCTGTAACATTATGACTGGTTGCCTGAATTTTCATGCTTTAAGTCAGTGGTTCTCAAGTCCAGTCCTCGGGGCCCACTGTCCCGTATGTTTTGGATGTTTCCCTGCTCCAACACACCTGATTCAAATGATCAGCTCGTTATCAAGCTCTGTAATGGCTTCATAACGAGCTAATCATTTGAATCAGGTGTGTTGGAGCAGGGAAACATCCAAAACATGCAGGACAGTGGGCATCGAGGACTGGACTTAAGAACCACTGATCTAGACGCATTAGCATTATTTTAAGTTTGCTTCAAAGCAGCTAAAAATTCATTACAGCATGTTTAAGTGTACCAATAACCCCCACCCTTTCTGTTAAATTTAAATCCCCAGAGGAACCAAAACCCAATAATCAATCACCAGTGTTTAGCAGAATCAACAGTTCAAATCTTTCCCAAATAACTAAATAAGGAAAAAAATCATGTTTGTTTGTTTACACTTAAAGAAATCCAGATAACACATTTCAAGACACGTGGGACTTAATTATGCTAACTTATTATTACATTTTTTCCTTTGGGTTTGAGAGAGATTAGCATTTACAAATACACAAGCACTTAGTGGAATCATGTAAGTCCTAAGGGAACCTTTATCATATCCTACTGAGAGGAGACACAGAGGTTCTGCACAGGCTGGAATAATGCTCTGAATTCCATTAACAATTGGAATTGTGTTGAACCTATCCATGCCAGGAACAATTGAAATTTTGTCTGTGCTGAACTGATCTAAAGGACTTTGTAAAGAGATGTGGTCTTCATGAGACGAGGCTCATTTGTCCATGACTGTCACCAATTCACCTGCTCTGACATTTGGCTTGAATGGAAATCTGTAAGAAGTTGCTGTGTTGAAACTTTAAGAATTGACTTAAAATCTACACTTTAGGGTGAGTCAACTGACCAAACAGTAGAAAGCAGAATTTAAATAAAACTCTAAGCATATTACCAAATTAAGATATTTATTCCTGAAAATACATTTCTCTCTTGTTTAAAAAAACAACAAATAACTTGTTCAGGACCGACAAAACAGTCCTCTCTGTACAACACTGTACAATGTTTACATCGTTTAATACAGTACATCGCATTTGCTGAATGGTCAGCTTCAATTCCCCCAGGACTCTGGCTCATTCGGCCTCTTGGTTGAGCAGCTGATGAGTGTAGATCAGATCCTCATAGTGATATTTCGCTGCTAAAGTCATGATGGAGTCATTGCACCTGATTTTACTCAAAACCTGCAACACTTCCAGCACAGCAGACCTATAGGAGACAAAAACACAGATGTCACACAGTAGTCTGCAACAGCTTAGATACAGTTGTGTTGGTATCAATGAAACAAGATTTGGATTTGATTAATAAGATTTGATAAATAAGTTTCCACAACCAGCTTCCTAACAACTACACATTTGAAAGAAAGAGTTTTGATTTTCTAAGTTGATTCTTGGTACAGTTCTTGCAAAGAGGATTGAAATCAAGACACCGGACTCTTCATCTCTGTTCAGTGTCTCTTGGCTGACCTTACGCCCACTCCAAAGCATTTCTTCTCCTTATAGAAACCTGTTTTTTTTTTCTTACCTTGTGTTTGGATCTTCAGGAGGCTGCTGTTTGCAGAAAGTATGAACTTTCTGAACTAAGTGGTTTTTGAAATTCTGGAGCTGAGGTAAACAAACATCCTGTTCTTTGAGCCAAGATGGCGGCAGACTGTCTGCTATCTGAAAAAAGAGAGACAGGGATGGAGTGTGAGATAGAGCAGGAGACAGCAAACAACCTGACTGCAGACAAGATCAAACCATGGACACCAGAAACACACCGATTTCACAGTAGAAGGGATGCATTAACTCACTATTCTGCATGCTTGATCTCCACTGTTGGACAGCGTCTGACTGCTCAGAGTGATCATCAGGTATCGGTTCAGCAGTTTGTCCAACATCAGTTCCTTCAGCACTGACTCAGGAAGCAGCAAATCAAATTTTCCCATGTTACCTAGCAGCTGATAAAAACACAGAACACTGATTAACAAACTGCAGCTTTCCTGCACTCTTACGAAATGAACCTTGTTCGAAAGCAGTACTTTTATGGCCGTCCAGAACTGTTGATCTCTGAAGTGACGCTGAGGAGATGACCTGTCTTCTAGGAGGCTGCAAAGAAAAACCAAGACAAGAAAAGTATTGAAATAACCACAGGAGGTCATAACTGTGCCACTGTATGTTAAAATGTACAAGTGGATAAAAAATATATTTCATGATTGAGCAAAAACTCATGAGGTTTCAATAAAAAGAGGCCAAAAAAGAAAAGAGACTGACTTTTGGGGGTAGAGCGGTATAAAGACATCCTCATCTACACAGCTCCTCAGGCGACGCATCACAGCCTCCATGAACGTCTGCAAAGGACACACAAATAAACTTTCAAAGCACTCAAAGCATTCACAGCCCATTCATAAACTGATGGCAGAGGATGATATCAAAGAGAACCGTCAGTATTTACTAACCTCCATTCACACACATTCACACACTGCTGGCTATGTCACTGGGAGTTCGGCACACTTTGACGTGTGACTGTGGGAACACTCGACCTTCCCATTGAAAAATGACCGACTCTACCACTGAGCCACAGCCAGCCCGGACATAGAGTAAGTACTTTTTATTAATAGTTTGTTCATTTTAAATACTAACACATACTTCCTTATCATGTCTAAATAAGAAACTAAAATCAATCTCAGGCTGAGTTTACCTTTCAATTCAATCTCTTATAGGACAGAAAGATAAGTCGCGTTTACCTTAACAGGTTTGGTCTGCTCTCCTTCAAAGATGGAATAATCCTCCTTCAGTCTGTTGCAGACGTCAGACAGGCAGACTGACTGCTGGCGGGACATGGGGTCCCACACCAGCTCAACAAAGGCTGAGAGGAAACAGAAGAATGATGACAGTGATGTTTGTAGCAGAGTTTTTTTTTTCCTATTCTGATTTGCTATACAGTCCTTACAAACCACTACGTGCTCTCACTTTGTGTTTTATGTATTCATGTAATATAATTCATCTGACGTGTACCTGTGAGTATGTTACCTGTTATTTTGGGCAGGACCGTTTTAGCGATGACACCAGACAGCGTTTCCCTGTCTGCATGCTCCAGCTCCTCATGACCATGTCCATGACAAAAGGTCTCCACTGCTGTGAACCACGGGAGGTTTTCAAAGTCTGCACTGTCAGCCTGGACAAAATAAATGATGTGAAAACACGAGCAACAATGCAGCACGGGGCTAACAGAATTTACTTCTAAATTAAACATTAGTGGAAAAAGGAAGGACTTTTTATCCTTACTGTTACTGTCCACATTTACCATTAGTGGGTTCCACCCCAGCAGCTGATGCCTTATAATGGGATTTAACAGCTTGGGCAGACACAGAGAGATGTAGGCATTCTGGTAAGACTCAGAGTAACATCCTCTCCATTCTTCAAAGCGGGACAGGATCTTCTTAACGTCACAAAACTCATCTTGAACGTCAGAAAACACCGCCCGAGACTTTGCCATGATGTCAGCTGGAGAGGAAGCAGCAAGAAGAGGACAGAGAGTCAGACAAAAGTGACATGAATTAGTATGTTTTTTTTTCTGCTTCACCATTACCATTAAGAATGACATGACCAGAGAAGAGCAATGCAAACCTACCTTTCCTTTTCTGTAGCTGCTCTTCCTCTTCTTCTGATGGTTGCGTGTCCGCAGGTATATTTGAATAATCTTCAGCTCTGATATCAGAGTCCTCTGTGCTGTAGTGCAAAACACAACTATCATGCAAATTCACATTTGTTTTTGTACTATTTTAGTAACAATGTCTAACTTATCAGGACATCTTTTTGTGCAGAATAGAGATTTGTGACAAAAAAGACCTGACTCGGAAAATGTGAGGATAGGAAGTTTATTTTGAACTCACCTCTGAGTTTGTGCTCCATTGGCAGATCCTTCACTCTGCTCATTTTTGCTGTCTAAAAAGTAGAATTGAAAAGGTCTGTTGATATAGGTCATAACTTTCACACGTATTATACGGCTTCATCACAAACACACAGACATGTGGACACAGGGGTGTTACTCACAGCTGAGCTGCTGCAGACGATCAGCCTGCTCTTTGATTCTCTGCCGTCTCTGAGCTGTCAGTGCTTCCATCTGGTCAGACAGCAGAGTGTGCAGCTCCAGTTCCAGTGAGTTAATCTCAACAACCTGTAAACAGACAGCAAGTTATCATTAAATACCATCAACTCACAGAGGCCAAAAAAAATCCCATACAAGCAACTGCTGTTCTGACAGACAATACATATTTTAAAACCACCACACACACAAATATGTGATTAATTAAGCTCTTCAATCATGGTTAATTCAGAACATCGTTTAAACAGATTTCTGCTGACCTTCTCTTGTAAACACTCCACCAGGTTGTGAGCATAGAGGTTCATGGTTCTGTAAAACTTCAGCTGCCTCTCAGAGGAACTCTCTTCAAGAGTCTCCACAGAGGTTTTAGCGCTGTCAACATCCCCCTCCATTCTTCTCAGCTCCGCCTGCCGTGCTCTGTACACCTCCTTCAGGGACTCTAGTCTGGGGAGAGGAGTAATACAAGTGAGGGATACAGAGATGTTGGAAAGAAAATCGATTCATGGAGGTTTTCACAGTTATACCAATCAATGACTAAGTGCTGCATTAATCCATATTCAGCATGGAGAAACATACTTTCCAGTGATCCTCTTCTTGATCATTGAGATACTGACAGGAGGAAGAGTCTTTGGGACCCCTGCTGGTCTCTTCTTTGGGTTTCGTCTGTCTCGCCTGCTGTTACTGCTGCAGCTATAGCTGCTGGATTCACTGCCAGATGGGCTCTGGTAGAAAGACAAAAAGGAGGATAAAGGATGGCAGAGGAAGTGAAAAGAGTTCATGCGCTGAGCTGAGGCTGAATCGGAAGAGAAGAAAGGCATTTTGCCATTACAGACAACAATAACACTGATTAGAAAAGACGGGATAATCTTAACAAATATAAGAAAAGTAAATATGGGGAAAAGAGTGCGACTGATCAATTTTTCCATACCTGTTCTCCTGGACGTCTTTTAACACCCTTGCCAATTTGTGTCTCCTCCCAAAGCTCCTGTTCTTCACCATCTGTCCCTGAGAGACTGCCATCACTTCCCCCTAGATCACACACACACACAATCACACAAAACACAACAGTTCACAGAGGGGCAGAAAAAAATGTGAGACACTCACATATTTGTGATGCCGTGCTTTTGATACTAAATATTTTGTTACAGACCCCTTTCATATTTTCAGCTAAAATTTCACATGCAAAAAAAGATGTTTTTGTTTTTAAGCAAATTCAGGACAACATTTGTTCCTTTGCATTCACAGCTCAGACTCTGATGTGAAAGGGACTTTGATAAAGATAGAGCTCAACACTTGACTGATTCTAGATTTCTGAATCAGTGTTTTACAAATTCACATAATTAGGCTTTTCAGAGGCGGATTGCTGTAATCTTCATCTTTGAACTCTATATTGTTGCTGCTGTTTGAAAGTTGTTATGATCATAGACTGTATGAAACGCAGATAGTCTTTTCTAAAGGAGCATTTTGCAGCTTAAGCATGGCCAAAGCATATCCCTAATTATACAAACATGGGAAAACTTTGAGTATTAAGATCTTCAATCAGATGGGTTACTTTAAAAAATCACCCCTAATACTCTGTTACAATGAAGAATGAGCTACAAAGTCTAGAATAAATTTTTTGATATATTTTTTTGTCTGTAACCATGTTTAATTTGGCTCCAAAAATGGGTGTTAGAGGGACTTTCTAAGCTGTTACAGCCACCCTCATGTGGACACTTAAAGAACTGAGTAGTTGATCCATATTTCAGCAATGGAGGTTGTCGCTTGGTTCTGATTCACATTTCTTATTTTAAGACAGCCTGGAGACACTGCTTTATAAGGGTGTTATTAATGAATACCACTGATGGCCTGATGGTTTATGTGCCTCATGAACAGGGGCTATATCCCTAAGCTGTCCCTGATTCGACTGCTGGCCAAAACCCTTTGCTGCATGTCTTTCTCCACTCTCCACATTTCCTGTCAATAAATCATCAATAAAGACCAAAATGCCCCACAAAATACCTCTACAAAAACACAGTTCGATAAAGCTCATCTTTACGTCCACTTCTCCTCCTCCCTCTCAATCTGCACTCATTCTCTGAACTTTTTGACAGACCTTACAGTCTCTTCTCACCACCCCCATCTCTTTTCCTCTCATACCGAGTTTCTCAGCAATCCTTTCCCGAATGCTCTTCAATCGTGGGGCAAACTCGATTCTTCTCTGGTGATCATCTGGTCCATCATCATCATCATCACCACCATCACTTCTGTCACTTTCTTCTCCCTTGCTGTAGCGATCAGGGGTGCTACCGGCAGAGCTATGGCCATCTCTGCCTAGAGAAATGAACTCTTTCTGGGTTTGTTTTGCACGCCGTTGCCTCCTTGCTGCCTGGATCTCTTTGGCACTGGGTATAATCACTGTAAAGAAATACACATAGCCAAATATGCTAGGTCACACATTGCTTGTTACAGGAAATAAAAAGACAACAAAAAAGAGCATAAGAAAGCCGTCTGCTGAAAACTGTGAAAATATATATAAACATTTTCTTTTTCTTACAAGCAGTAATATTAGGACTTCAAATGAATAATGACAGGTCTATAAGTGCAGTAATTTAGAGCTGATATTAAGCAGAAACACATTTTCTGACATATATTCTTGCATCTCCAGTGATCATTGTAAAGTCTGATCAAACTTTGTTTACAACAGCTAAGTAGCTGAGATGTATATGCAGTTTTTGAAGTGAAATTCCTGGATGTTACAGATAAAAGGGAGAGAGAGTCAAGATGTTAGAGTTGGGGGTTCTGTAAAATGGAATTGGAAAGTAAATGGATGAAGAGACTGATCAACAGGTCTCTACAAAATAAACAACAAAAAATAAAGCAAATTTTCCTTATGTTGATAAGAATTCAACAGCAGATCTGGCTGGCTTTTTTCACTGGATTAAGGCTGTTGATACAGCGTAGTAGTTACATGTACTCCATATTATTTTTTGGAATTTGAGGCTTGACAAGTTGTTGAGTCCAGGTATTAAACGATCAAATGCCAATAAAATCAAATTAATACAAAATCAGGAATTTGTGGCTGTCACCAGCCTTTCATGTCATTAGGTTAAGACCCATTCAAATGATTAGATGGCATACAGGCTTGTTAGCCTACATGCATTTGCCTCTGCACTCACTGGGCATGAACACAGTTTTCTGCAAGCTAAGGTGAACAAGCGAGTCACACAGGAAGCTAGTTTTACATGACTGGATGCCTAACCTGAGAGTTTCCCTCTCTGACCCAGATATACAACCAGAAATACCACATACCTGGTTTCGAGGCTGAGCGGCTAGAGCTTGAGGCTGAGCTTGCTGAGGGAGACATGGCACTACCTTCATCACTGTTTTTATCATCATCATCATCATCATCATCAGGTTGTGGGGACCATGGTGAAGCCACAGACTCTCTGTCAGAGTCCAACCTGGGAGAAGCAGAAGGTCGGACACGTCCACCTGCTAGGACTGAAAAGAAAAAAACAAATATAAAAAAAGCAAGTACGACATGGTTGGCCAAAACTGTAGAAACATTATTTAGTTAGATAACAACTGGAGTAGATGAACATCCTCCAGTAACATCAACAAATGCCTCACACACTTCTGCAGGAGTGACTTCAGTGCAAGCGCCTTTTAGTCTTCATTAGACCAAATCATAATCTTTGATCCCATATCAAGTATTCTACAAAGTATTATAAATTCTCCATTTTATGCGGACATAAAATCAGTTGTGTGCTTGGAAGTAACACCAAAAGGTTTTCATGCATTGAGTCACAACTTTTCCTAAACAGGGTGCAAAATGGGGAAAAAAAATCTCAATATTACACATCAAATTAAAAAAAATCACTGCAAACTGCAGCCTCTGTGATGACCTATACTTAAGCTATATGTCTGTAATCTGATGTATTCTTGCAAGATCACCTACCTGTGCTGTGGAAGGTTTTGACAGGTGAGTCTTCCTTCTTCCTCGCGTGGAACAGCACAGCTTTATCAGTGGGCTTCTTCAATTTGAATGTCGATTCCTCAGCTGGAGTGAAAGCAACAGGCAGAGATATATAAATATATATATATAAACAACCTAATACGGCTCAATAAACTTGGTACAGAGTAACATATATATATATATTATGCCACAGACTAGCATTTGATGTTCTGCTGCAGAGTCCAGACTTACAACTTTTTTACTTAACACTTTGTTGTGTTTATGTGGGTTTTTTTTATTGATTTTACTAATCTACTGATGTGTCTTTTAAGTGCCCTATAAGGTGTCCTTGAGTGCCCTGAAATAAAATGTATTATGATTACTATTACCTTCAGTAGTACAGATAAATTAAATAAATTAAAGATAAATTAATTGAATATGAAAAAACAGCATCCACTATATCAGAAAATACCACCTTTTTTTCTTCGGATGATGCATGTAAAATTTATCCCAGCACATTTGCCGTCAATTTAGTAACTAACTGTGCAATTATATGTAAGCAAAGATTTGGAAATAATAGTAACAATGCAGTTGAAGATTAAACACCCCAAACTTCTGATTTCATATACACCGACAAGCCATAACATTGTGACCATCCAGACAATCCAATGCAACAATATCATAAATTATACTTTTACAAAGCTCCTACAGGTCGTGGTGGGTGTTGTGGTGAACCAGAGTGCATCATATTGACAGGTGTTGTGGCAATAATAAGCTTCCTTCATGGTTGTAAGTGAATTTGACGATAAACAAAGGGATAAATAGTAGTGCTGTTGTGTTAGATTGAGTGAGTGTTCAAAAACAGCGCGTCTGTCAAACGTTATTCAAACGTTTCTTAACGCTCTAGCTTACGTTAACTCAACGTCTGACTGAGGTTCATTGATATAAGATGACCACTGTATACCTTCTTTGTCGTCGGCAAAACTAAGCATATTGTCCTTTTTCTTCTTGAGCCCATGTTTATCTTTCTTCCCGTTTTTACTTTCTCCTGTCAGCTCCATCGTCTCCGCTTCTTCCCCGTCACTGCTGTCCGGCTTCGTCGGCGTCGGTTCCCGCTTGGAGCTGCAGGAGATGCCGCGGCCCTGCGCACTTTGGGACGGCTTATTGGCCGCAGTTTTTGCCTTCTCGCTTTCTCTCCATCTCCGCTGTTTCTCTGCTCCTCTTCCTCGTCACTCGAGTTGTTTTTTCTCTGCCGAAAGTTCCTCCGGGGTTTCTTGTTGAACATTTTGACCCCACTCACATGGAACAGGATGAGCACCAAATGTTATTTGAGGTTGGTGACATCGGAAAGCGCTCGAAGGTGCTGCAAAATGTAACGTAAAGTAACCGCAATGCCTTATGGACCTTGTAGTAAATATGAACAAGTCGGCTTGTCTGAACAAAAAATAAGACAACTTTGGTATGGTTACGCGTAGCTTATTAACTGTAATTTATTGTAAGACGTTATGTATGCGCTTTCATTCCCAAATCTTCCATGGACCACCTGTTATACTGTGGGGGGCACACATTACGGCTAAATTAATAATGAATGACTTTTGTTTGAGGAGATACCTGCTGAAGTATCAGCGAGAATGAGATGAAGTACATTTGAAAGCCAAGTGGTAACTGGAGCCCTCGTGCTTTTGTGTAACTCTCTCCTATATTGTCTCCGATATAATATCCTTCTCTCCCATCTGTATAATTTCTCTTCCTCTCTTTCTCCCCCCTCTCTCTCTCTCTCTTGTTCTGTCTCTCTCTCTCTCCTCCCACTCAGTGGACGGCCAGGCGTTAACAGCGCCCCGCAGCAGCCGCACAGCCTCCTCCGCTCACTCGTCGTCAGCCATGTTGTTGGTGTGACACACTGAGTTACCAGCAACAGGTTTTTTGAATAATACCGCTGAAAGATCTTCAAGAAAACTGTTCTCCCACAAATATTACTTTCTTTGGACACTGAACCTCTTCAGTGTGTCAGGGAAATCGCCTGGAAGTGGTGGGAGATAACTTCAGGCCGCTCAGAAGCCCAGAAGTTAGATGTTTTTGTGGCCGTGGTGAGAGAGGTACGTAGGCTAAACTGCTTATCTAAGCATAAGAGCAAGTTTAATATAGTTGTTGTAGTGTTTTAATTTGGCTTTTGTGTTTGTTGTAACTCTCCTGGACTAGGTAGCTATTTCATCCTGATCCATGAATATAAAAGGCAAATCTATCTTTGGAGGGAGTGATGCTTGTCAGCCAAGGATGGGAGTTGGGTCAACTAGTCAAGTTACGATATAAATAGAATACGTGATCTGTACCTGATCCTAACATCTAAAGGTATTGATAATCCCTCTAAAAAGCGAATTAAGTGTTCGAACATTAAATGTAAAGGAAGGTTTACAAGCAAGTCTGCTAAATTCCTCTCAGTTCAAACAAGTTTAGCAGGTTGCAGGTAGGTCTCAGACCTGTTGGTGACAAGTGATCAGGGAATGCTTCAGTATCCTCTTATCATGATACACATAGAGAGACAAATTTAACAACGTGGATCCACACAAACCTTTGTTAGTGAGATATAAACTCAGTTATATCTCTTATTGTGAAATTTTGGCGTATTGTTGTCTCAGAGTTAGGCCCCAGTTCTGACTCTTGACCAAAACTGATGTAGTCACATCCGATCAACTCTTTTAACAGTGGTGGATCAATCTAAAAGTTTTATGTTTTAAATAGATCCTTGTAGAGATAATTTGTTTATATAATTTACTGTGCCGTGAACCAGTTTGGATTTGATTCAGTTCAGTGGCATGTAATCAATGCCAGGCAATACCATCAGTCACACCCACCTACTTTTAAGTAGAAACATAATGAATATGTTTTTGTTTCAGTAAAATGAGTGTTTTATTTACACAAGACTAGACCACCATTTTGTCTTATTTGTCTAATGTTTCTTTAAATATAACTAAATTTTACCATGTACTGTAAGAGACTGCAGAGAAATGTCCTCAATATAGATGTTCAATGCAATATTCACTTTTGCAATTAGTTAGATTTTAGAGGTGAATAAACCCCCCCTGTGCAGTGGCACAAAATAAATACACCATTAACATTGCCAAATGTAATATGACATCCATTCTAATGCAAATGTTATGGTGAAGAAGTCACTGCCCAGCCCTGATAAGCCTGGGGCATAGAGCTTTTTCATATCTATAGGACTATGTATAGAGCAGTCATATTGTTGTATTGTCATGGGCATGACATATATTTCACCACAGCTCGGAGCTAGGCTGAGAGTATAATTCATTCTAAAGGGTCTGATATAAGGTACCTATTAAAGAGTCTGCTGCTGTCCTGTGGAGCTTTAGGTCGACAAAGTTTAGCTGTGGACTGAGTAATGTTAGTATGCTTGGATTTGCATGCAGGTAAAGAGACTGATGGCTTTAGGGGCTGCTTTTGATGCAGGTTTTCTTTCTGTGAGGAGATTCTAGCTGGTTGTGAAACTAATTCAATCTGATATTGATGACTCATCTTGAGCAAACCAGACCATCAACATAAAAAGAGATTACCTCTACATAGTTTATTGAAATGTTAGAAACTGCTGCTTGGGGGAGACGGTATCAAAGATGTTGGTTATCGACTGATTCAGCCCTTTTTACATTTTACACAGGAAGATCCACAATAAGTGACTGTTAGAAGACAGCAGGGTTGTTGTTTTTGTTATTATTATTATTATTATTATTATTATTATTATTATTATTATTATTATTATTAATTTTTTTTTATTATTTTGCAAAAAAAGATATGTTAGACAAAAGGACAGGATCATCAACACAACCCAAAAAGTTCTCACAAGAGCTTCAATCTGCAATAATGCAAAAAGTTAAGAGCAGATGTTTTTACCCTCATCTACTTTTCAGAAGTAATCTTCAGTCTCTGTGGGCATTATTAAAGTCTGTCTGTCTGTTGTTGCAGCACATAGGGTAATAACACTTAAATTGATCTATCTTATTCTAACGCTCATGGTTGTAAACTTTCACATAGCATCCTTGAGAGGCGTATTTTTGTCTGCTGTGTTGCTGAGACTCACCTGAGATCCTTTTAATGATTGAAGTTTCAACCCTAACCACTGGCTCACTTGCCTGTTGTTTATATCACTGTAAGTGTAATTATTTATCCTGATAGGCAACAACCAGGAGTACTTTTGGCTTGGTGTGGTGTTTTGTTGGTAGATCATTTATTCTGCAGATATTGAAGCTGAGCTGCCTTTTAACGCCTCCTTTTTTAGTACTTTGTTAAAACTGAAATGAATTTAGCACATTCATTCATGAGTAGCTACCTCAGAAATATCCTGTTGAAACCAACCAACAACATTTCATCAGAGCACCACTCAGGTCCTGCTGCATCTTCCTGATATTAGGACAAATCAGGGCGGGTCAAAGCAGAACAAAGGAAGGAGAATAATACCTTGCCTCTTGAGAAAACAAAACACAGAGCTGCAAGTAGCATTAATCAAACATTAATCGAAGTAGATACTCCAAAAGTCAACCGCAGCACTTCACAGACTGTAGCTAAACTACTGCAGGATAGAGTGATTAATACAGAGGGTGTATGTGAGGTCATTCAGAGAGTGCACACAGTTTACAGTGGAACAGAGTTAAACAAAACTGGGACAAATAACTACAGAAGGTAGGAGAATGGGTCCATGACAGAGATAGAGAGGAGCATGGTGAGACTGACTGTACATAGACAGTCACAGAGAGAGAGAGAGCGAGCCAGCCAGCCAGCCATGGCCCAGAAAGGGAGTTGTAGATGGAGTTGATGTCATTTGTGTGAGGTCAGTGAGTGAGTGCAGCTGAAAATCAATCATTTTATAGAACAACAGGCCGTACTTGTTTCTGAACAGAGGAGTGGTGCAGACAGGTCAGGGTCACAACACTGGGATGGTGAGGATTCAGCGGCAGAGGGAGGCATACAGTGACATATGAAGAGTTAGAGAGGAAAATACAGTGAGGGAATAAGGGAGCGATAAAACGAAGAGAAGAAAGATGATGTATTAAAATCATTGCATAAAAAGTCTGCATCGCAGCAAGGTGCTGAATAGAAAGTGTAAACTCCAGAGAAATACACAGATGCGCTTATAAAAGGGAGGTAGACATGCAAGGTTCAATGCTCCTACTGAAGCAGCTAAGGTCAGACAGTGATGGCCAGAATATTTATCTAACAGTGTTTCCTGTTGAATATACTGACATGGAAACAGAAATACTAAGAACCAAAGCAGAGCTGAAGCAGGTGGGGTCAGACCACATCTAAAGCTATATCTAAAAAGAGAGACAAAACTGAGAGAAATTGTGTTTTTCTTTCTCTCATTTAACGCACAACAAACGTAAAAACAAATAGAGGTTTATGTTGACCTCAAAAGGCTGTTTTTTAGTCCAAAGTAAATATGCAAGTGTGTTAGGTATGACAACTGACTGTACATACAGACAATACTCTTGTAGGCTGATGTATTTAGAGCCTCATTAGTCAATAGAGTCATCAGTCATGATGTTACACCCCTTTTACATCAGCATAATGAGATCTCGCTTTGATTACAGAAACCATGTTTGAGAAAAACATGGTCTTTTGATTCGAAAGTCTAACCTGCATTTGATGTGTTTATATGGGGAATGAATGCAGACTTTCTGACTGACTGCAGCCATTAGTAAGGGGAGCTCCAGTTGTTTTGACATCACACTCGGGGAGGTTTCATGTTCTTTAAGTTCTTATAGTCCATGGTTTGAGTTAAAGTCCAATCCTGTTGCTGCTTACACATGGCTGCACTGTGTTGCTTTAGACTATATTAAGAGTATGTTTAATATACAGTATCATTATTACTGCACTCTGTTTTTTAAAGCCGTGCTGTCTTGTATTCTGGCTCCCATTTACACTAACAGGCAGCAAAGTCATTGTCAACTGTATTGATTACACCTGAGCTCTCCCTGTTAATTTCTCTAATGGCCAATTTATGCGATTGAGTCATCTTGTTAGACTCTGCAGAATAAAATAAGCCATCTATTATTCTTTCACCAGAGCCCATCTAATGTGTACAGTAAATCATACTGGTGAGATCTGCTGTGACTCAACTGCCTGCTGATTTATATGACCAGAGAAGTGAGAGAAACAAGAATGAGAACATATGGGCTCCTGTCTGTACATGCAAACTGGGGGAACTATCTGCCTGTACAGTATAACTCATGGACAGTGTTTTTACCTGTGCTGGAGCCTAAGCACTCTTTATCCCTCTGGATAAAAACATCCATAGCTTTAGGAAGTATTATCATAATGTTATAATAAGCTTTTTCATTATCTGAATCCTGCCTGTTTTTTCATTTGATTCCAAATATGCAAATGCTGGAGGTGGTGTTATTTATCCTCTCACAGTGATATCGAGTACAGCCAAGGGAGCAACACCACAATTAGGCCTCATTCTTAAATCGGGCTGCTCAAGAGAAGACGTGCTAACCAATGTAGCTGCATGTGATTTTTTGCTGAGTTTCCTATCAAATAAACATAGTAACTCAAGATCAGCACAAATACTATAAATGACAGCTATTTATGGGCCATGATAATGACAGAAGGCCAGAATATAATCAGGTTTTTTGTTTCATGGTTACTTCAAAGCTTGCAGAAATGTAGTGAGGTTTCAGATGTGGTTTCTCTGCACTGATTGCAGTTTCACCCACCTTATACGTGACTACTGTGTTAATTTGATCATGCAGTGATATCGTTGACGTGATACTGGCTGGATATACAAGAATTATTTGGTTGTACATCTGCAATCTTCTTGATACACACACTCTTTCTGAAATGTCTTGAAGTTGATTGTTATAGTTCCAGGCAAGTATAGAAGCCAGGCAGCAGCTCACAGTGGCTTTAGATACAGGGGACTTAATAGATAAGTGTTGATATAGCAGTCAGTGTTCCTGAAATGCTTGGTGAGAGCCTGGTAGTGGGGTGTTGGACATTATTGTTCTGGTCTGTGTACCTGTGGACAGCAGGTAGGAGCCTGAGTAAATGAATGTTAAACCCCTCTGCATGACTGCAGAAGAGCTGTTTCTTCACTTACATGTTGAGACCAATCTGAGTCATACGCCTATTTATGAATTTAACCATGTCAACAGTAATGGCGCTACCATATGGGTGTGGGCACTGAGATGGTCCAACCCATGCTTCAGTGTAGTTTGGAGTCATAGAAAAACAAAATCCTGTTCTTATCTTTGTCTACCAAGAAAATCCACCAATTCAACACGTATTGAAATCTTTGTTATGTGCAGTTGAGCACATGCTCCCCATTCTGCAGTCTTTATTACAAGGATCTGATAACTAGTCTGTGCAAAACATTTTCATTTTTTTCACTGAAGGTTATGAGAATTGCCCCACCCAATCAGTAGTTATGCAAATCTTTATATAAAAACTGAGGGCCTTGTGTTTCTGAAGGTGTATCACTAAGAGCTTTCTCTCTGTGGTGTAGACTTTGATTTTCTCAAAACAGCCTGCTGCTCTGTTGGTATTCAGCCTTTTTATAAGTAGTTTTCTACTTTACAGGGGAAATGAAGTGAGTTTTTATTTTAAAGGCAGTGGATCATCCAAAAATAATTTGTTTGCAACGCTGAATCTACCACTGACTGAGGTCAGTCACTGAAGCCAGCCAAGTCAACCGTTCAGTCGGTCAGTTGGTCACACCACCATCCAGTCAGGAGAAGTCAGACTCCTCTGCCATGTCGGAAACCGTAAACCTCAAAGTCAACCGCCTGCTATCTCTCACTTATTCATTACCAGAGGATACAACCCATGACTGAAGGCTGTGGAGTCAGGACTGAGCGACTGATACTGTTGGCTGGTGTCAGCTCAGCTCCAATTAAAGACATTGATGCCTATTTTTTTAAACACAGGCTTCACAGGAAACATCAGGTATGATGCTGTGTCAGGTTTAAGTTTTTAGTCTCTTTTTGTTGAATTATACCCCTTTATCTTTCATGTACGTACATTCTGGTCTCATTTAGGATTTAATACTTGTGCTTTAAGTTGTACAAAAAAAAAAATATGAATTGATTATTGATAGGCACAAAGTTAACTAACTAAACTTAGTTCACATAACTGAACACATGTAAGAGGAAAGAAAATGGTATAAGATAGTATAGAGTCAAGAAGTATCCAGCTTCACTGATAGTCATGTTTGATAAATGAGAAGAAAGTGAATAAATAGAAGCTAACAGTGAAGGAGAATAGCTCCTGAGTTGCCTGGAAACCCCTGATCCCATCTTCCCTCCACCTCCCATCCTCACTTTTCACTCTAGTCATTTGTGTTTTGTCATATAAACTGAGATTTCTATTTTTCTGTGGTTTTATTTTCACAGTAGGATATGAAGGGCATTCATGTCTCGTTGAATTGTGGTAGTTTATCTTTCAGAGTTGGTGTATCTAATCCTTTTTTAAGTGGAGGGTACCAGTTAGATCATCAGCTACATCTTAAAAGTAGGCGCTTTCACACTCTTTAACTGTGTAAGGATTAATTTCTTTGCTATGATAAAGCAAAGTTGTAGCTTTTTACAGTCAGATCTTTAATTAATTGTGAATATTTTATGTGGAAAACATCAGCTGACACCTTACACCCTCGCACCAGTTTCAGGCACTAACAATCACAATGTAATAGTTGGCTATCTCACTGCTGACAGCCTATTTTGCTAATGCACATCATAACAAGGCATCAATATGAATTTTAGTCTATTTCATTAATGCCAACTAAAAACTCCTGTCCTCACAGGACCTATAAGATGGATATGTTATTATTCAGGTTTAAACAGAGTAAAATAATATTTCCTCATAGTTATCACAATAGTTTGATCAGCACTGTAGCACATACAGAGCAAACAAGCAGATCATGCTGTGTTGTTTCACCTGTGCTTGGACTGCTGCAAACGTAACTTCATACTGATTGTGTTTACAATGAGAAAGTCTCTACATGTGCACCGAGATGCCAGTGTTTTTCTATACATCTTACTACATCCCAAGAATAATAGTAGAATGAAGACTGAGGCCAAAACTGAGAGCTTGGTGATGATGATGAAGGTGAGCGAAGGAGAGGAGGACTTAACGCAGAAGGAGAGAGAGAGAGCGACAGATGGCAGGCAGTAGATTAGCCCTCCCTCGCTGTTCTCTGCCCCTGTGAGAGCATTGATCTGACAGAGGCAGCACACTATCACCTGGTATTGTTACACCTAATTTTTCCTCTCACTCATACTAACCGACTCAAAGAGAGGGGAGATAATGGACAATGTGATGTTTATAGATAAGCCTTTCATCAATCTGTAATTCTTTCAATGCCTTGCTCCCCAGCTCTGACTTATTTTTGGGACATCAAAGCTGTCCCTCTGCCAAAATCCACCATCACTTCCTGAAACTGGATGAGGAAATGCTTGTGTGTCCGAGGGTTACTGGGCAGGAAGTGTTGAGTAGAAAGATTGGAATTTCTCTCCTCCTTTTCCTCCTACGACTTCATCATGTGAGTCTGACGGCTGATCGAAGAGAGATAGTCATGGAGAAAGCAGGTGTTCGATATTCCAGTAATGCAGTGAATATAGATGCAACAGACCCAAAATAAAACACGGTGAATCATAGAGTGTGACATAGAGATGTAGAAAATGCTCCAAAGTGCTCTGTGCTGTGACCTCCTGAGGAAAAATTTCACAGTCGGTCCCACAGCAACACTGTGTTTCATATCCAAACAGAAGAGTTTTGTTTTGGCTCTGTTTCAAATGCCACAACAGGACTGCAGTCACAAGATGAGACCTAGAAGTATGCTGGCAAACCCAGCGGTATAGTTTCTGGTCTTATGTCAACACGGAGCCCATTTATCAAACTTAATTCCAATCCAGTCCTGGAAAATATCCTGCAAAATGTTACAGAAAAATGTCAGGATTGAATCATTCCCCAAAAACATGAAATTGAAAGAAAATCACATCTCCGCTTTCTACTTTTCACTTCTCGTCAAAACCTGAGAAGCTACAGCATGCAGGTTTATGCGAGAGCAGCTCTTTTTCTCCATTTCTGTGTGTGTGCATGACTTGACAAGTATGTTTGTTAGGACTATAATGTAACAGACATGTAGAAAAGCATGTTCATGAGTGACAGTCGGCAGACTGGAAGTGGTTGTGTAATGTACGCGCACCATGTATTCAGCCATAGCGTGTGCCAGAAAGTCAGTTAGTTTGTAAAGCTACCGCGAACTGTGAGCATCCCTCTGAAAGATGTGTCTGTTCTGTTACATTTAAGCTAGTAGAACAATGAATGAAGGAGAAAAGACGATGGCAAATGTGGATCGAGTGTCTGCGAGGAAAGAAGTCATTTCTGTTTTTCTGAGTTATTTTGGATTTGAGGAGAGACGAAAACCTGCACTTCAACATTTATTTATACTATTTCACAATATCATGAAAGCGTTAAACAAAGTCCTCCCAAAGGCTACCTCACATTTTGTCTCCAGCTATGACCACAGCATCTTACGAGGAAATCACCTTTGTTAGCCCCCATCAGATCCTGGATCTAGTCCAACAAAATACCGAACAGGGATTAATAACTCTTTGGACAATCAGTGTCTTCTTATGGAGGTTTTTATTAGATTAGCTTGTGTAGCATTACTGTTTGGCCACTACAGAGTCAGTGTGCACAGTATTGGAACACGTCCCGGTAGTTTAAAAGCTTTGGGACGCGGCCAGAGTGCTCCTGACTGAAGAGAACAGGACGAGCCCTGTTTGACTCTGCTGACTGACCAGAATATCTCTCTCTCTCTCTCTCTCTCTCTCCCTCTGTCTTTCTCGCTCTCCCCCTCCTCTCAGAGACACAAGCGTTCAGTCTCAGCTGCAGCACTGACAACATGACTGACTCTGCTGTGACTGTGTGTTTTGCAGATGGCTGCGAGCAGTAGCTGAGGACAGTGCCGGGAGTCCCCCCTCTGTCAGTCCCTGCCACCTGCAAATATGAATGGTAAGACCTCTACAGTGTGTGTCTGTGTCTGTGTGTGTGAGTGGGTGTGTAAAGGAGGGTGAATGACCACAAATGTCAGTGTGTGTGTGTGAGTGTGTGTGTGCATGTTTAAGGCTCTGCAGATCCACTGAGGCCAGCACACAGACAGCTGTAGTCATGATGCATTTGCAGCTTCACGTGCATCAGTCTGAATACACACACTGTTGAAGAATTGTGTCTATCACAGCATTATTGTTTGTGTCAGTACCGTCTGATAAACTTACTCTAAGTTGCTGTGCTCATAAAGTCTGTACATTTCTCTCCACATGGTGACACTGGCTTTGTTTGTTATTGGCGGTGTATGAAGTACAGTTACAGAAACTTTGATAGTTTTCTTCACAGATCTACATTCACTGTGGAGTAAAGACTCATGTGTACTCAGCCTCGGTGCTTAAGCTGGTGAAAGTGCTGAACAAAGTGACAGTTCTTCACAGCACAGAGCTTTATGATCACTTTGACAGTGTCTGTGGATTCTTTATTCCCGCGGCTGGCCTTGGTAGCGCTCTGCTTTGACGTCTCTTTATTCATCTGTGTCCTTCTTCCCTCTTTTTCTCTGTAAGTTGTAAAATGGGTCCTTAATCTTGTGTAAAAACTTAAAAGAGTGTGCAGTTTGTTTTGCTCAGATTTAGCTGGGATTTACACTGTTGTGATTTATTTACACAACAGCCTTGAGCCTTTTCAAAAAAAGCAGGTTTACTGAGAGGAAATCCATCATACCAGAAGTCCTTTTGATACAATGATTCAGCAAAAATGCTGTAAAGAAGCTCTGCGGTTACACAGGCCTTAATATATTTTTTTTAATAACAGCATCATAGTGCTGTCCAAGCGTGTGATTTTACACAATGTACAGGTATTGTGGAGGCAAAGGAGGAGGGACATGTAAATAAACAGCACCAGCGACTGCTGTCTCATCCTGCTGGCTACTCCTTTTACAAAGACATTGATTCTACTTTGTTCTTGTGCTGGCCGTAATGGCAGAACGGCTTTGCCCCACCTTATACCTGTGCTCCTTTTGTACTGGCAAGTAAGGTAGAGCCTATGCATGCATGTAGGGGAATTCTGGTGCTGCGACAATGACAAGATACTGCTCACAAAATGATTTAGCATAATTGATCACCCTCCCCACACACACACACATACATTTCTTCTTCCTAACCCCTAAATGCGAGGCCAGGTTGGAATAATGGTGCAATATGTTTTAAATCAAACAGAGACAGCTCTGTCTTGGAAAAGGTTGATCTGAGGAGTATCCATCCTTTCCGCCCCTGTGATTCTTCTATTTTTCTCTCTAGGTGCCCCAAGTACGTGGGCGATCTCCCCAGAGGAGAGGGACAAGCATGATCAGAAGTTTGACACCCTCTCCCCTTCAATGGGCTTTGTCTCAGGTACACTCTTACACACACTTCATACCAACTGATCGTTATGCACAGTCCTTAAATGAAAGTCTTTTAAAATACCTCATTAATACACAGAGAGACGGTAAGAGGAAGCAGTCATATGAAATGCAAAGAAATGTTCTTGACATTCTTGGAAATGAGGCACGTGCTCATACCTGAAGACACAAACCAGTGCTTCAAGCATTATTTTTTAAGTTTCCAGTTAAGAGGAAATTTGACTCTCTGTTTTCTCCTGTTTCTTGTATCTGTCTGTGTCCGTAGGGGAGCAGGCGAGGAAGTTTTTCCTCCAGTCGGGGCTGCCTGCCTCAGTTTTGGCTGAGATATGGTGAGACTCACAGGCAGACTCTTGTGTTCACATTCAGAATGCGGAGGTGTTCTCTGACATGTAGATCTGTATATTAACTCCGGGTTTGCTCTGTCTCTCTCTCAGGTCTCTGGCTGATATGAATAAAGATGGGAAGATGGACAGGCTGGAGTTCTCCATTGCTATGAAGCTGATAAAGCTGAAACTCCAGGGTACAGCACTCCCCTCAGCACTTCCAATCATCATGAAGCAGCCTCCAGTGCATGCCCCCACCCTCAATAAGCCCACCTCAGTCTATGGTACAGTATAAATACCACATACTGTCAATTGGAATCAGTCGTTTTTGGTCATAAGGACTGTGCTTTGTCTTTGTCGAACTGATGTGTTATTTAGTATTGTTGTTATTTGCTGTGTTTCAGGGATGGGTGGTATGCCCATGATGGGGTCAAACCTTACTATGCTGGCCCCTCTCTCCATGTCAACCCCTGGACTCTCACCTTTGGCCCCAATGACAGGCCTCACCCCTATGGTTCCTACAGTTCCTACGGGCCTCAGCCCTCTGATTGGCTCCACCCCCCCCAGGCCCATGATGCCCGCCATGGGAAGCGCCACCCTACCTAACGGCACCATTGGATTTCTCACTCCAATACCAGCTGGACCTATGGCCACTGGTACAGACTACTTTCATGTCTCACTTTATTTTCTGTTTTTGTCTTCTGTCTTTTGATTTCCACTCCGTTTACTGTAAGAGACTTGCTTAGTATCTCCTGCATGTTAATCAATCTGCTCTTTTTATTTTCACTTTTAACTGCATGCAGAATATCCAACATTTCTTTAGAAATAAACCCATTTGCAGAGTCAGGTTTCTGCCTCATCTCCATACAAATAACCTCTCTGTCCTTCTGGAGGTCATAAGCAGGGCTGTTAGATATTATACGACTGACCCTCTGCAGATTTTCTCTCCCTTTCTGAAAAATGTTTTTTGGGGAAAAAACAAGATCGATAACATGTTGCTGTTGATTATGGCTGTAGTGAAAGCTGACAACTATATTGGTGTGCTTTGTGTCATCAGGTCTGCCTTACCCTGGATCCACGTACACCTCCCCGCTGGCCCTCTCCTCTGCAACTCCTGCAGGTCTAAACAAAGCCTCGTCTCTGTTGGACCTGGGATCTAGCAGGTAACACATGCAGAGACAAACCTTCACAGACTTTTAAGAAGTGCAGAACTATTTCCTCTTTTGCACAGTCAGATGGTCATTTATTCTGTCACTCCCTTTGAAGTTAAAAATAGCGCTGAAGATTTTTGCTCCGTTTGTGTCACTGTCTGTTCTTCAGCTCCGCTTCCTCCTCACCCTCTGTGATGTCTCCCATGGCTGCTGGTCCCAGTGACTGGGCTGTGCCACATGCCTCCAGACTCAAATATAGACAGCAGTTCAACGGCCTGGATAAACACATGACTGGATACCTCACTGGTACGATGATGCAGTGTGTGTGAGTGTGTATGTATGTGATGAGTGTGTTGGTCATGTCAAACCGAATTATGCCTGGAATGCAGGCGTGGACACTCATGAACACTCACAAATGATTTCATAACGGTTGCCTCCCTCCTCCTCCTCCTCCTCTCTGTGGGTGTCAGGCCTTGACTAACTCTGAGGAAGTGAAGGCCGCGGGTGTGTACAGACTCCGGGATGGTTTCTCAACACGCACTTGCACACACACACGCGCACACACACGGGGCGAAGTATGCATTCATGTTCTCGCTTCGTTCAGTTTCTGCAAGCCTTGTTGGACAGGTTCTCTTCTAAAAGCCATGAAGCCGTCAAACAACAAATGAACTTAGTGATTACACACACACACACACACACACACACACACAGATTTACTTAAGACTTTCAGATCATTTCCTCTCAATGTGAGTCAACATTTTTTGTGTCTAGCTCATATATGGCATATTTTTTTATTGTATTGTGCAATGTTGATGGCCAAACCGTACAGCATTGACCACGCGGGCGAGAGGTGTGTGTTAGGTCAACACATTGAATTAACACTAAAGGTAAAGTTTGGTATACTGTCACTGCCTTTTTTCATCATCTGCTGCTGAAGTTCTAGTCTCACCCTTTGACTTTAAAAACATCCAGAAACCCTGAACTCGGTCTCAAAAGCAGCTCTTAAGATCTATGGGGCCTCTCTCTGTTGTCAACAGTAACAATGAAGTTAAATGACCAATGAGCACACACTCTACCTGCACTTACACACACACTCACAGCCATGACTTCATCCTCTTCTTACCACACCCATAAATCTGTGCTATACAGGTGTCATGACATTTATCACTCTTTGTGGCCAGGTCAGCAGGTGAGAGGTGCCATGGCAACCACGATGCTGACTCAGACACAGCTGGCCTCCATCTGGTGAGAATGTCATGTGTGAATGTGTGTGTGTCTGAACATGTCCTGTTATTGCCACAGTGTAGGACAGCTCCAGTCAAGTTTGGCAGCAAAGAATAAGAAACTTCATTCTTCAGAAGGCCGTGTGACAATAAGCTTTTGTTTACCAAGGAAATCTTAGTTTGTGTGATGAGCTCTTTAAGTTATTCAAACGGCCCTGATTCCCAGAGTTCTGCTTTACTTTCCCAAACCTTTCTGCTTGGTTTGTATGTGTACCACTCTTTTCAGCAGTAAGGATTTGGTAAATTTGAACTAGCACATAGTATGTTTGGTTGCACAGATCCCTCCATTATTTGTTTACATTTTTATTTACCCATTTTATATCAGTTCATCCTCCTGTAGCAGGATTGCAGCTTATCGTTGTCTTTACAAACCCAATTTCCAATGAAGTTTTTTTTTTTAATGTGAATAAAATTAGAAAACAATGATTCGTAGAAGGTAAAGGCGATGTTATAATACGGTCCCTGTCACTTCAACATCAGTGGAGATCAGAGTCTATTTACAGATGAGAAGTTTAGCAGCTTAACATCACCGGCTAATTCAGTAGTTTGGTACAGCTCTGATTAAAGAGCTGGTTAACATCAGTGATCACCTCTTTTCTTACCTTCCAACCCTGTATGTAATCGGTCTGCATTTGTAGCTTGTAGCAGGGATGTTTAATATATCATCTTCTAAAACTCACACCCTCAGTGTGTCACCCTCTCACAGGAATTTGGCTGATGTGGATAAGGACGGCAAGCTAAGAGCTGAGGAGTTTATTCTGGCGATGCATCTGGTGGACATGGCAAAGACTGGACAACCTCTGCCGCTGATTCTGCCGACTGAGCTGGTTCCACCCTCAGAACGGTAAGTGCACACGGATGACTGCATTAAAATTAACACTGTGCAGTCAGTGTAGGATTAAAAAAAAATGAAGATAAGAGTTCATGTGATACTTAAATGATGTGAAGCGTTCATAAAGACACTTGATTTCTTTATAAATCCTCCAGGACGACAGTAAATGGATCCAGCTCCTCTCCCTATGCAGCTCTAAAGGATGACATCGAACCCCCACAGAAAACCAAACCCAACTGTTAGTACTCACTCCAGCATCCTTACACACTGGACATTTGCATGAGCAATAAGTGCAGCTAAATAAGGCCTGTTGAGTCAAAGAATGGAAAGGCAGTCCACGACAGTCCATTGGTGGATGTTGAATACTGTTTTAGTCTCTGTAACATCAGTCACAACCCCATAATCCTGTCAGTCATTATTTTGTCATTGAATTCTGCCAGAAACTCAAATTGATGTTGAATTTCTTAGTTTCTGTCTCTTCATTTACTTCACTTCCCAGGAGAGTTCAAGAACATGTCAATTCAGTCATTGATTTATTTAAATCTATGTATGAAAAATGTCTTAGTTTATAATTCTTTTAGGATTTGAGAGCTTATAAACAAATACTAAGAAATCTCGCCACCGACTTCCTCAGTGCGTTTCGTATTTCCATCAATTTTCAGATACTTTTGAGGATAAATTCAAGGCCAACCTGGAGCGAGGAAACGCCGAGCTGGAGAAAAGACGTCAAGCCCTGCTGGAGGCGGAAAGGAGGGAACAGGAACGGCGTGCCCAGAAGGAGAGGGAGGAGCGAGAGAGGAGAGAGAAAGAGGCGCGGGAGGCCGAGGAGAGGAGGAGAAAAGAGGAGGAGAGGAGGCTGGAGCGACAGAGGGAGTTGGAGAGGCTGAAAGAAGAAGAGCGACAGAGAGAGATAGAGAGGAAGGAGGTGAGAAGAGCTCATTAAAGCTCTTAGAATGACTTCCTTTTGCATTTTAGAGTGTTTTTTTTTTTACATGTTTTGTGTCTTGTATGTGATCATGTAAGGCTGCACAGCGAGAGCTGGAGCGACAGAGGAAGGAGGAGTGGGAGAGGAGGCGTAGAGGAGAGCTCCAGATTAAGAGGGAGCAGGAGCAAGATGATATCATCAAACTGAAAGCAAAGAAAAGAAGCCTGGAGATGGAGCTGGAGGCTGTGGTGAGTGTCAGAGACAGACAGGCGTTGTACAAGTTTATTCTCATCTTTTTGACATAGGTCAGTCTTAACATTTCATACACCATCCATCCATCCTTCACTTCAGGGTAATAAGCACCGTCAGATCTCAGATCGACTGCGGGACATTCAGAACAAGAAGAAAGTTCAGAAGACAGAGCTCGATCTGACCAATCAGAGGATAGAGACACGCCAGCAGGACATCTACAACCTGCAGAAACAGTTAGAGGTACGCTTTCGCTTTTCGTGTTTCAGAGTCTCAAGAAGTTGTTTTTGTCTTTCTCTCAGAAACTTATTGTGGTTTTAAAGTTAAGATCGTTCGCTCGAAAGTTCTCTAACATTTTCCTCCAGTGATTCGCGTCTCACTGCTTCTGCTACATTTTCTCATCATTTCAGGAGTTCCAGAGAAAGTTGTCCCAGCTGACTCCAGAGCAGAAGAGACTGACAGAGAAACTCAAAAACATGTCTCTGAATCACACGTCTGGTTAGTACTGGTGGATGAATTCGCAGAAACAATCATGTCACACACTGATTGAACAACGTGGTGGAAAAAAAACAGACCTTTCATGTAAAATTGAAACCAAGTCATTGAGGTTGACAGTAACATGTGATAGCAAAAATCTCATCGACTGAGTAATACGTATTTAAGACATATGGAGAGTAAGAAAGTGATTTATTTCAGCATGTAGAGGAAGATGCCGTTATTTTCTATTGAAACAGAATCACTTTTTAACTGGGAAGACCCATTTTTCTGTCTCTGTTTGTTTGTAGTTTCTAGCATGTCGACCCTGAAGTCGGGTGTCACTGAGAAAAAAGGAACATGTATGAAACTGAGACAGCAGCTGGAGGCTCTGGAGAAAGAAACGGCAGCCAAACTGGCTGAAATGGACCAGTATAACCAAGATATGCAGGTAAGAATGAAGTACACTTCTAACATTAGCATGGCGTCATTTAAAGCAACATTTTACAGTCAACAGCTTCAGTCAGCCTGAGCCTTCTCCATAGAGTAGCACGGGCACATGTTAGTTAAATAAACAAATTCTGTTTGATATTAAAAAAAGAGGAAAAAAAAAAAGCAGTGCAGCGGGGCATTGTGGGTACTCTGAGGGACAGTGGACTACTGCTCTCACAAAAACTAAAACAGTAGTTTATGGTTTGCAAATCATTTAATGCCTTTTTTAATTTTTGCTTAAATGTGTAAAACATCAATTAAATTTATATGGTTTGGTGAGAAATATATACTTGTTTTAAATGTGTTGGTAGCAATATGTTTCAAATCAGTCGAGGCAGAGACGGCAGAACACTGTAAATGTTCTGTAATGTTAAAAAAAACAAGTCACATCAACTGACAACAAGTTAGTAACATGACTGCGTATAAAAAGGGAATCCCAGAGAGGCTGGGTGTCACAGAAGGGAGGATGGAGAGAGGTTCACCACTCTGTGAGAGACTGTGCCAGAAATAGGAAAACAAGGTTCAGCATTTCATTTGCTGTCATTTAAATATTGGCTTTTAGTCATTTGCAGACCATCAAATCTGGTTCTTATGATTTAATACAGCGTCCCAGCTCTAATAAGCATTAGTAGTTGTTCTTTCCTACGTTCACAGACTAGAAAACCAGTTTTTGTAAGAAGTGTCCGGATGGTGTAAAGAATAATTAACAGCTGGATACACTTTTTCTCAAAAGACCTCCAAATCTAGTTTACCTGAGTTTTAAATAACAGATGTGTGTTTTTGTCTTTTCATCTTAATATGAAACATATTTAAAAATAACAAAGTTTAGGAGTAAATCAGTAGTCCTCTTGGAGAACTTACTGAGACTTACACTACTACACACTAATGGCTGCAGCTTAGCCCTTAATACCTCTTTTCTCTCCTCCTCCTCATCTTTTCTTTCCACCATCACTTTCATCCCTCTGTAACTCTAACATTTCTCTTCCTTCTCTGTTCCTTTCCCTTCAAAATGACGTCCTTTTTCTCTTCTGTTACCCTTTACTCTTTACTACTTCCTCCCACTATCTCTCTTTACTCTCATCCATCCTTTATCCGATGTCCCCAGACGTCACAGTATGTGGGTGAGGAGGACGTAATGCTTCAGGCTGTCTTCTGTCTGCTGGCCTGCCTCCGTAACCTCTTCTACCTACTAAAGGTTTTCGCCTTAGGTGTCTTTGTTGTTCTTTTAATCTCGTATCCCCGCTGCTTTATTTTCTATTGTGCAATCACCCTTCTCATATTTCTGAGCTGTTGAAGCTTTTCTGGCTTTTATTCTCAGGCCACTTTTCCTTTTCTCTGTGTGTCAGACCCTACTACTAATCGATGTGTTAAACCCCTCTAACATGTTTGTACACGCCGTGTGTGTGTGTGTTTGGTCCTTTATCAGCCCATCTAACCAGCTCATTGTGGTGCTGTCACGTTTAGTTTTACTGTCCCAGAGAAGTAGGGTTTGAATCATTTTTTTAATGCATCAGGAACTTCGAGAGAGCCAGAGACAGCAGCAGGCAGCGCTGGAGAAATTACGGAGCATCAAAGAGGACAAACGGCGTGAGCTGATTCGGAGGAAGGAGCAGGAAGAGGAAAAGAGGAGGAAGGAAGAGGAGAGGAAACGGCAGGAGGAGGAAAGGAGACGGAGGGAGGAGGAGGAAGCTCAAAGGTATTTGGGATTTCTGGAGGATTTATTTTCACAGATTTAAAAAGAAAAACAAACAAAGGTCGTGTCGCTGTGAAGTGTAATTTCTGGTAGCTACATTCTGGTTTTGACCCAAACTTTGAGAATAACTTTGGTGTTTGCTCTTCATCGCAGGCGAATCAAGATGGAAAAAGACCGCCAGTGGCAGGAGAAGCTAAGGAGAGATGAAGAGGAGCGCCAGAGGAAGCAACAGGAGGAGAGGGAGGCCAAACAGAGGGAGGAGGAGGAGAGGGAGAGACAGGCTCTCATCCAGGCCGCCAAGGAGCAGGCCGAACGAGAGCTTAGAGCGAAGGAGGAGGCAGAGCGGAAAAGAAGGGAGGCCGAGGAGAGGAAGAAAAGAGAGGAAGAGGAGCGACAGAGGCAAGCAGAGAGACGAAGGCAGGAGGAGGAGAGGAGAAAGCTGGAGGAGGAGAGGAGGCTGCTAGAGGAAGAGAGGAAAAAACTAGAGGACGAGAGGAAGAAAGAGGAGAAAAGACGGAAAGAAGAAGAGGAGCGGCGTAAAAGGGAAGCTGAGGAGAGGAGGTTAGAGGAGGAGCGGAGAGAGGAGGAGCGCAGAAGAGAGAGAGACGAGGAGGAGAGGAGGAGGCAGAGGGCGGCCGAGGCTGCCGTCCGAGACGGGGAGGAGAGGCGAAGACGGGAAGAGGAGGAGAGAAAGAGGAGAGAGGAGGAGGACAGGAGAAAGAGGGACGAAGAGAGGAGAAGGCAGCAGCAACAGCAGCAGCAAGAGGAGGAGAGAAGGAAGCGTGAAGAGGAGAGGAAGAAGGCCGAGGAGGAGAGGAAGAGAAAGGAGGTGGAAGAGGAGAGGAGGAAAGCAGAGGAGGAGAGAAAGAGGAGGGAGGAGGCGACGACCCGTCAGTCGCAGGCACAGCAGCCGGGCGGAGGAGGGAAGATAGACATTCAGGAGAAACTGACGGCTCTGCTGAGGGGGCTGGAGGAGAGGAAAGGTAACACACACACGTGCACACACTTGACAGCTGCATGAGACTGAGAACAACTCGTGCTTGGTTCTAGTTTATTTTGTGATATAAAAAAAAGGATGAGAAATTGTAGCAGAAACATGTAATAAAAAGTGTGTTATGTACTGTACATACTGGTGCTTCAGGCTGAAGGAGAAGGTGACGTGCAGTTTCATAGTTCAGTATTGTTGTTGACTCTGAATGTTAGTATTTGCTAACATTCTGAGTGAGAAGCATTGATTGTTTATTTGCATGAATAATATAATACATGTTCTGCCTTTTGCACAATGTTTCTTGCAAACACTGTGATAACAATAAATATATGTAGAGTGCAGCCCAGACACTCTCAAGTACGTATTGAACCTTGTGTAAAGTTACAACGATGACCCCTCATTATTATTCTAGGAGGACAACCCAGAGCAATGCAGCACAGAAAGTCGGCCGCTCTCACCTCCTTTAAAGCGCTCTACCCATTTACTGCTCGAAACAACGAAGAGCTCACCTTCAATGCAGACGATATGATTGAGGTAAGATCAAATTTTACAGTCTTTCAGCTTAAACACAAGCTGGAGCTTATTCTTTTCCAAATGATTCCCTCGATTTTGTCCTCAACCTTTAATTCTTTTCTTCCTCTTGTCCTCCCCGTCAGGTTGATGAGACGACAGAGCGGGAGGAGGGCTGGCTGTACGGCAGTAAACAGGGGAAGATGGGCTGGTTCCCAGAGAGCTACGTTGAAAGGGTAGCTCCATCAGGAACTGCTAATGCAACCGCTGCTCCTTCGGTTTCTGCCTCTGCTGCTGCTGCTGCCACAAAAATACCGCTGCAGTCGCAGCTTTCTAATGCCCTGGAGGCCGCCAAGGCAGCAGGGACAAAGTCTGCTTTCACACCGACGCACTCTCCAAACCCTGCTCCCTCAGAGACACAAGGACAGGTGAGGGGTGTGACAGTGAAGAAGAGTGTGGATTCTTTTACCACTCCACGATTTTCAGCATTGAGTGTATTTTCTGAACACACAGACTCACATACTCACTGTTCTCTCCGTGCCTCTTCTAGCAGGTGGTGGGTAACGTGTTAGCCCAGGCGCTGTGTTCATGGACCGCAAAGACAGACAACCATCTGAACTTCAATAAGGACGATGTCATCCAGGTGTTGGAGCAGCAGGAGAACTGGTGGCTGGGAGAGCTCAACGGTGAACAGGGCTGGTTCCCAAAGACATACGTGACACTGCTGGGAGAAGAAGACGGCTCTGAGTGAGTGTTGAGAGGGTTGGACAGTGGCTTTACCACTTCATAAGAATATCAACTTTTTAAACTCTTGATTCTTCTTCGACTGTTTTTGTTGACATGTTCAGCAAAGTAACCAAGAGTACAAACTGTTGGTTTAGCTGTTTACAAAAACATGGAGGACACTCTGATAGCTGAACCTTTTTGTCAACATTTAATAAATACTGATCAGCAGCAGCGGATGTTTGCAGAGTGTGAGGCTAAGTCACTGCTCAAGTTGTAAGGAGATGTGTTTGCTTGTGTTGCAAAAACAGCTAGAGGGATTTTATCCTGTTGATATGGCCGACAGTTTGCGTAGAAATGGACTTTCCCCCAGCTGATTAGTGACTCCAGTAAATTTTAAAGTAGAGGGAGACACTCATAGTCTCAGATTTATGTCACTTTGGGAATACTTACCTGCTAAATGAAAGTGAGAGGCAGAAACAGAGTTTAAATTATTATATATATATATAATATTTGACACTGTGCAATGTGAAGTGGGGAGGCTGAAATTCCTTCTCCTCTGCTCTGCATATGAACATGTTTCTTTTTGTTTTTGTTTTTTTGTATTTAAGCGATCCTTTTTTATCTGTGTAACTCAGTGAAAACATGCATCAGTCACATGATCAGTCTCTGCATGTCAGCCTGAAAGTGTGGTATTTATTCTAGTATGTGAGGAACTCAGGTGGCAGGAATGACCTCATTCCTCTGTGATGAGGAGTCTGCTGTTAAAACTGTCACTCACTCACTCACTCACTCACTCACTCACACGATCAGATGTTACATTACAGCTCAGTTTATTCTTCACTGACCGCAAGATTGAATCAGACTCCGAGAAGCTGAATTTCCTGATATACCAGTTGACCGAGTTCACGTCCTTCGCCTTGATAACGAGGCTTGGCTGGTTAAAATTAAAGATAAGAGTGAAAATATCTTTAAGCCTCGACTTTAGGTGCTCGACGCAACTTCACTCTGTGGATTACATTACAGACTCGGACTGAGCCGCATAGATTTATAACCCGAATCTTTCAAAAAGTTGTGGTTGGTTTTGCTTCTTTTCTTTGCTGCCTCCATTAACACTAAAAGCTCTGGAGGATGATTAATTTGATGGACAGCGTTTATGAATAAGTGTGCTAATGCTGTCCTTCTGTATCTGAAGCGTGAAGAGCTCCCCGCCTGATGCTGTGGAGTCTGGAGACAGCCTGCAGCTTGAAGGTACGCTGAATTTCTCTTTGATTGTGAATCTTGTATCATGGTTATTTATGAAACTTGATTTAGTGGTTGAAGATCCAGAAATGGGATTTTCGAGACCTAAAAGACATTGGTCTTGAATTTAAAGTGATATCTGTGTAGTAGAGCTAATTGTCGTGTTCATTTACTCCTTTCTATCAGAATATGTGGCGCTGTATACCTATGAGTCTCCAGAGCCGGGTGATCTGACCTTCAGAGAGGGAGATGTGATCCTGGTGAGCAAGAGGGAGGGAGAGTGGTGGAACGGCTCAATAGGCGACCGCTCAGGTCTCTTCCCCAACAACTACGTCAAACCAAAAGAGACTGATGTGAGTCCTGGCCTGAATTACACATTTGAGAGTGGTTTTGTGATGATACTGTATGAATTTTTGACGTTTTTTTCTTTCGTTTCAGACATCAAGTGTGTCTGGAAAGAAGAAACCAGGTGAGCTCAGGATCTTGTCTTTTTTTCATCCTCCTTTTCTCAGCCCATCTTGTTTTAACACATTTCCTGGTTGTTATGTATCTGCAGTTTAAAGGTTTGTTTATGTCTCTGCGTGCTCACACAGAGATTGCCCAGGTGATTCGAGCCCAATCCTCTTCAACCCCTGAACAGCTGAGTCTGGAAAACGGCCAGCTCATCCTGGTCCTCAGCAAACACAGCTCTGGCTGGTGGCTGGGAGAGCTGCAGGTCAGTGTTTTGATCAGTTTGTGGAGGAAATACTGTCCAGAAGGTATCAACTGAGGATCCGTGATAAAACTCAAGTTGGGAATTTTGTTCACCTTGGTTCACTGATTCAAAGAGGAGATAACCAGCTAATAGAAAAGTCTCTGCACTCTCCTGGTCCACAGCTTTGGTGTTCATTGCATCCGTGCTGTCTGATGAAACCTGAAGACATCCTTTGTGTATTTGTTCATATGTGTGAATATTTGTGTTTTTTCATCGTAGGCTCGTGGTAAAAAACGTCAGAAGGGCTGGTTCCCTGCTTCTCATGTCAAAATATTAGGATCCAACAGCGGAAAGTCCACACCAGCACCACAAGCAGGTAAATCACACATACACACACTCATTAGTCATAGCAGTTTTATTCCATTAGAGGCGGTCAGACTGCAGTTTACACGCCCTCCATGTAAGAAGGTGATGCTTTAAAGCTGGGTTTATGCTGACTTTGCAAACCTGATGAAGCTGCAGGTGTGTGTTCATGTAAAAATGAGTTTTTCGGTCTGAGTGACGAATCTCCTTATTTTCTGTCACATTGTAGTTACTCGTGTTTTTACTCAGTTGTTTGCACAGGATTTGAATAAACCGTTTTCACCGGATAGTTCGCTGAAACACACATATCAACACAAACTCTGGTTGTCTTCTTGAGTTTGGCGGCCTACACACACTCACCCCTTTATGTGATGAATATGTGTGAGGGTCTAGTGTTCAGACTTTAGTGTGGGGATTAGTTTGATACAACAGAAACACACTTTTACACATCAACATTAAGAAGAACAAAAGCACTGCGCATTATAAAGTGGAAGTAAATAAAGTGATAAACACTCTTTTTTTTATCTCTCTGTCAGTCTGTCAGGTGATCGCTATATACGACTACACAGCCGCCAATGGAGACGAGATGAGCTTCTCCAAAGGTCAGCTGATAAATGTCCTGGACAAGAACGACCCTGATTGGTGGAAAGGAGAGATCAACGGGACCACTGGTCTCTTCCCCACGAATTACGTGAAGATGACCACAGCGGAGTGTGACCCCAGCCAGCAGTGTAAGAAAACCTTCGAGTGTCTTACCCTGAGAGAAAACATGCATGTCTTTAACACGTAGACCCTCTTCTCTATGTCACTGACTAAATCTAAAAACCTCGTCTCCCATCATCCTTTATCACCCGCCTCACTATTTGACTTTCTCCCCTGTCTTTCCTCCTGTGTTGCCCTCCTTTTTCTCCCTCCCTTTTCTTCCTCCCCCTTGGCCTCTGTCTCTTTCTCCTTCTAGGGCGATAGAAACTCCTCCTCCTCTTCTCCTCCCGTTCTTCCTCTCCTCCTCCTGACTTCAGAGAGACCCACTGTTGCACACTGCTCTGAAGGAGTGGAGTGTTTGGACTCCTAATCTACTAACTTCTCCCTCCTCTGAGCTCCTCTTTCTGCTTTAGAGACACAATCATGACCTGAAAACACTCTCCTGTGATCCAGAAAACTGACTCTAACAGCTGTGAACGCCAAAGTGCCTTATACAAATTATTAAAATTGCTTTTTTTTCTGTTGTTTTGATCATGAGCTGATGGCGCTAACTCATCAGATTTATCAGAAAGTCCATCTAGCAGAGCAATAGTGGGTCTCTCTGTAGCTCGTCTCTCTCCTTTGTTTAAACTTCTTATTTTTTCTTATTCTTAATCTCCAGTTTGTGGGTTCAGCTCACACAGAGCCCACTATTTGTCTCTGTCATAGATGTGTCTGCTCTTCAGTCTCTTCCTAAGCCTTAGTCTAACCATATGCAGTGAAAAACATACTTACACATGAGCCCGGTAAGGGATTTTGAGCCAGCCTGATGGTCTAAGTTTCTGCCCTGGACTTGTCAGTGAAAAAAAAAAGATGCATAGATCAAGTCAGGGAGAGATAAAGTTAGAGACATCCTCACAGGAGAACATGTTTTAACAAATCTCAGCAGGTGTTTGAATGGTACCTAGGGCTGGGCGATATGGGAAAAAGTTTATCACAATATATTTTTTTATATCAGTCGATATCGATATATATCACGATATAAAAAATGAAATTTAACAGTGCTTATTAGTAGCATGTCTTTTGCAATACAATAAGCTACAGCATCTGTGAGGTCTTTGTGTTGCTTTGACGTTTTCTCGTAAGGCGTTGCGTTAGAGAAAGCGAACCGAATGGTCAGCTGTTTCAGCTGCACAGGCGCCATGGGCTCCTTGCTCCGCTCTGTGTTTGTAACCTTTTGCACTACTTCAGGTGGTAAAAAAGATTCGAGGTATTCCTGACTTTGCAAGAACATGTACTTGACATAATTTGCAGTGCACATTACTCTGCTTCATGTCCGACCCTTAAAAAAACAAAATATGTCCACACCACCGACAATTTCATGCCAGTGTTGTCGACAATGTCGTCATCTGTTGAGCCTTCATCTTCATTTCTTTCAGGAGTAGCACTCATTTTCTTTTTTTTCTCACCCACAGTGCTGTCAGCTTCACATTTTAAAGTGCTATAGTTGTGTGTAGCTGCAGCCTGCTACTACGCAGTTGTTTGCTACTTGGTTCTAATTCAGCACATGATTGGTTCAGCACGAAGCGGACCCGGAGCAACTCCCCTATTCATTGGCTATGTGTATAGTCTACTAAAACATGGCAGAATGCCGACTATCGAAAATTGACCATGTTTTATATTGATATCGAGGGAAATTAATTCTCAATATACATCACTATCGTTTTATCGCCCAGCCCTAATGGTACCCCATCCTTTCACCGTACGTGAGCTGTAACCGACAAGCAGAAATCCCCAGTCTGTCCTCTTTATTTAAAAGCCATAAAGGGGTCAGCTGTCATCTCAAGCTGAAGTGGTTTCGACGTGGGATGAAGTGGCCATATGGCACACACTTTCAGGCAGAAGCTTTGACCTTCAGGGCTGATCACGCAAACTGCTGCTGCTCCTTACATCAGACTGTTTTCTGCTGTTTTCTGCTGCTCTGAATGTTTTTAATGCAGAAAGTGACTGCACACTTGCTTTAAAGTAACAAACATGAACACATGAGAAAGTTATCATGACAAGACAGTGGACACATGACTGTCATGGCAATATGTAGAACAAAATCTATGCAAGCTTCACATGCTGTAATACTGTGATTTCTGTGTCTATTCAGAGAAACTCGGAGGGAAAGTTCAAACCACACAGTTCAGGGGTCTCATTTATAACAGTTACTCACACTAAACAAGGACATGGAGGGGCGTATGCCACTTTTCATGCTAAGTTTCTCATCTGTAAAACAAATATGGAGATATAATGTGCTCATTGGTGAGCAGACTTCTGTACGTACGAGGACGGGGACATTACTGAAGCAGATGGTTTGAGATAAAAAAAAATTGTACATTGATGCCTTACATATATTTGACTTCATTAGATAATGAACAAGTGACTGATCGGCAGTACTTCATTATAATCAGTAAAATTAGCAGATTTCAATTTCATTTCATGTTGACTCTTGTGGGCTGTTTTTCATTCAGTCATGAAAAGATCAAATCAGCTCTTAAAACCCACCAAATATCTCACCTGCACCGTCACACATTTCTTTGAAGCACAGAGTACAAAACCAGAGTGTATCCCAACTTCATAGATGGATGTAAAAATCTCAAATAGCATCAAAAAAGTGTAAAACAATGTGGAGCAGAGTGTCACGAGCTTGACTGTATCCTCCAAGACCCTGCAGCATGAACAAGATGACTACATGATGCACAGAGAGTACACAGAAACACAGCCATGGCTGCTTCACACACGTTGCTGTCTTATCTCAACGTGTCATCATCACCTCCACATGTTCATCATCTTAATTAGCAGAGTGTGGACATGACGCCATGGGCAGCTCTCGCAGTTATTACCCCGCTCATACTTAGTCAAACTGCAGGTCAGGTTGAGCTTTAATGAACCAACATGTTAAAAGTTAAATTTACAGCTCACACTTCACTTCACTGACTGATGTGAGCACTCCAGCATCATGGGGAGAAATCAGTGAAGGTCCTGTAGATGTATAAAAACTGCAGTGACACCTGTGTGTGATGAGAAAAGGTGGATGTCCTGGCACTGCTAATCGCTGCAGCAACATACTGGAGTGTCACTCTTATTTCAGTTTGAATTTGTGACCCTCCTGTTGTAACAGAAAAACAACACACGCTCTCTGACTTCCACTTCATTCATAAGCACCACCTCTTTGTTGTGATTTATTGAGCCTACAATCTGCCGGCTCATTTACATGCGTTTTCATTCATGAGGCGTTTTGAGTTGACTGGTTTATGGATGAATAAGGGCGTGTAGAGGGCTGAATATGAGGCTGATCGAAAAAGGCACATACTCTCAGGCAGATTGTGATTCATTGAAGGAGTGCTGGACCACATTTCTGAGACTGCATCTGGGGAGGCCATGTTTTGTTTTGACAGTTGTGGTTCAGGTGAGGGTAAGGGTCAGAGTTAGACGCTAGAATCAGGGTTCCTACACAGTTGGAATTTCCATACCCTACTTTTGAGAATTGTTTTTGGAAATACCTACTTTTTTATTTTAGAAAACAGTATTTTAGGACTGTGGTAATATTGTCTGTTAACATAAATATTTTTCCATACTTTATTTTTCATTTTCTATATTTTTAAAGACCTGGACATTGATCTAATTTATTTCCATACTTTTCCATACTTGCGTAGGAACCCTGTAGAATACTTGCTTCTCACACTGAAAATGCACCTCAACAGTCAAAATGGATGAATGGCATCTACTCCATGTTGCTCACACTATCAAGGTTCTCACACTTCTGGTTCTGAATCTGCAGCCTCTGGGGAGCTATATCAGGGTTTTGGGCATATGTATGGATTTTCCACGCTGTTTTATAAACGAGACCCTGGGTGTCTTGAGTAGACTTCTACCACTATTAGTGTAATTTTGCAGGAAAGAAAAAGCTCAACCTGTTTGAAAAAAAGCTTTAATAAGCAAACTCAGTGAACCAAATACTTGAATTCGATTTGTAAAAATCTGCAGAAGGTTTTGCTGAAACTTACCGACTGAAACCTGCATCACGAGTTCATAATAACAGGCTGTTTGCACTACTGGTTTGATAAGATATGAAGAGTATTTGAGGTGAGCACTTGAGACAGGAAGGTGTAACTATTTTTGAAGATGTGTCTGATATATATTTTCTGATTCTGAAGTAGAGAATAAAGGTTGGTTTGAGAAGAAATAAAGTGTTTTACTGTTCAATGAACTGTTTTCTTCACCTCTGTGGTTTTTTTGCATGTCTGAGTAAATGAGCTTTTAGCTTTTAATGAGGGAGTTTTTTAGTGTAACTGATTTTTATAGCTTATTACATCAAGAGAAGAGACCAAAAAAATAGGCTCCTTTTTTCCTGCTTTGAACATGCGTCAAAGGATCAGAAAGAAAAACAAAGCGAAGAATCCCCCTTCCTGTTTTGGTACAAACAGATTTGGTCCAGGAGAAGTTTTAGTCTCATACCAGTAACAAAGATAACGACGCAGAAGGGGAAGGCAAGACAGGAGAGCACAGGATCACACACTGAACAACAGAGTACAGACTAAAAAGACATATAACAGAGAGATGACTTCAGAGAGCAGATTTCACTTTCTGAATCTTTGGGATGAGAAAGACGAGGAGGCAGAAGACAGAGAAGAGTCAGTGAGGGAGAAAGAGTCAGCAGGTATTGGACCTTCACAGTGGGTAAATGGCAGCTGTGAATCAGGTAGGTTTGTGTGTGCTGAAGTGTTTTTTTTTTTTTTTTTTTGCCTTTTCCTCTCCTTCTTTCTACTTCTTCTTCCACCCTGTCATGGTTCCTTTTGTTTCTTTCATTCCAAATGTCCAGCAGGAGGCAGTAGAGACCTGGTGTCACTTCAGTTTTTCACAACAGTGTCTGTGCTCATTCTTTCCTGCAGGGTGCGCAGACCTGAACAGCCTGGACTCCATGAGCCCCCAGGAGAAGAAGAGGCAGGGTTACATCCATGAGCTGCTGCAGACAGAGGAGAGATACGTGGAAGACTTGCAGATAGTGCTGGACGTAAGAAACATGCAACCTGCTGTAAAAGACAAATTTAAAAGAGTTTTCCTCACATCCTTATCATTATCTCTATGTGGCTGTTGTTCAGGTTTTCCATAAGCCCATGTCAGAGTCTGGCCGAGTGAAGGATTCAGAGATGTCCATGATCTTTGTCAACTGGAAAGACCTGCTGGCCTGCAACAATAAACTCGTGAAGTAAATATCCTCCAAGCACAGGGAGTCAGATCCTAAGGGAGCTGCCAGAGATGATAGACAAAATTATTTTAGTTTTCTTTCTTTGCTTTTCATTTTTAACACGTGTGCATTTATTTGTGTGCAGGGCGCTGCGCGTGCGTAAGAAGACAGGAGGGGATAACATGCCGGTGCAGATGGTAGGAGACATCCTCGCTGCAGAGCTTTCCCACATGCAGCCCTACATCCGCTTCTGCTCCTGTCAGATTAACGGAGCTGCGCTGCTGCAAACTCGCATCGACAACGAGCCAGACTTCAAGAACTTCCTCAAGGTAAGAGGGGAAGGAGAGTGAGGAGGGAGTGAGTGAGGAAATAAAGGTATAAACAATGAATAGAGAGTGACAGAAGAAAGCTGAGGCACAGAGAGAGGTGGAGATAAAGAGGCTGTGGTTTGGTCTTTTTGTGTTATTATCATGTAGTACCTAAAAAAACAGATACACCGTGACAGTGGAAACAATGTTTTTATTACATTTTTCTTTAAATCCCACCAGAAAATTGCCACGGACTACAGGTGTAAAGGCATGCCACTGTCCAGCTTCCTGCTGAAGCCCATGCAGAGAATCACACGCTACCCACTGCACATCAAAAATGTAGGTCACCATGTTCACAGCGCAGTTTTGTTTTTAACTCCACATGAAGTGGTCTAATAGTGACCCTAGAGTGTGGAAAAAGGGGGATGTTTGACCGCTTTGTCTCTAATGTGTGTGTTTAATAAACTTGTGTGTGAGTTTAGATCCTGGAGTGCACAGCAGAGGGACATCCTGACAGAGGTCCTCTCAAAGAGGCTCTGGAGAGGGCAGAGGAACTTTGTCAACAGGTTTGTTTCTTTATTGTTTTCTTTGTTTACAACCTCCGTCATTCATTTTCCTATAATAGTCTGTGTTACTTGTTTTGTTTAATTTTATTTATATATATATATATTTATATATATATATTTGAACATGTGCGTGCTTAACAAGAAAGTAAACTGAAAAAAAAAACAATGAAAATATTCGAAATAACAATAACAATAATCAAAGCAAAAAATATAATCAAAATTTAAAAAAAATATACTAATAATATTGTGAACCCGAAATGTCTGAAAAGGAGTAGGATAAAGCTTTATGCTTTTTTTAAACCTACTCCTTCTCTGCTACTCAATAAACAGTCAGTCATAGTCACAGACAGTCATATTTACATTATATTTACACAAAAAAGAACATAAATAGAGTAAATAAGTACATAAATCATTTCTGAAAACACCCGATGGTTAAAGCCCCTCTTCCTCCCTCTACCTGGTGAGAACCATGTGTTTGTACCACTTTTTAAACTGGGTCATGCTTGGACAGTGCTTGAGCTCCACAACTAATCTGTTCCACAACCTTACTCCACAAACAGAAACACAAAAACTTTTTAATGTTGTATGTGCCCGCTGATGCTTTAAGTCCACCCTCAGATGATAATCTTCAGCTCTTTTAAAAAATTGTAGAATGTTTATGGCTTGTACATGATTTATGCTGTTTGAAAGCGAACCAGGTCAGTGAATTTTCATGTTTTTGATTTTACGAATAGTGAATTTGTGTGATCTCTATAACCGGTGTTATGAATTATTCTTATGGCTCTTCTGCAGTATAGATAGTGATTGTATTGTACATTGTGGTAAATGTGGTAAAATTCTGCAGAGAATATGTTCTTGTGAAAAAGATGTTTTCTATGAACAATTTTCTGAGCTAAGTCATTTTGTTGACCAGGTGAATGAGGGCGTGAGAGAAAAGGAGAACTCTGACAGACTGGAGTGGATTCAGAACCACGTACAGTGTGATGGGGCTGCAGAGGTAAGAAGCTGAACTGACATCTTTTCAAATCGGATCACCGTCAGAATGGCCTTAATAACATAAAAAAGCATATTAACAGTCATTTTAATGTAACTCTCATTCAACAGAATATGGTCTTTAACTCTCTCACCAACTGTCTGGGTCCCAGGAAACTGCTCCACAGCGGGAAAGTGAGTAAACCTGCAGCGACTCTGAGTCAGTGAAGATCTGCTGGGTCTCCACATTTCCAGAGAAATTAACATTTTTCATTTTCTTGGATAAATATTTAAAGTTAAAGTACTGAGCTCTAAGAGGCAGACAGAGTAGGGAGCACAGGGAGGTGAAATGTGGGAACATCAGCGGGTCAGAACCAGAGATGTCGTGATCACATGACACGAACCTCAAACCACAGAATTACATATCCAAGGATCAGGGAGAACCTCAGGCAGTGATGATACACCTTCAGGAAAAAGATCTCCCTATGAACTGATCTGATTTCTCAGCCGTGATTTTTCATCTCTTCTTTCTTTTCAGATGTACAAAGCAAAGAGCAACAAGGAATTGTGGGCATTCCTCTTCAACGACTTCCTGCTCTTGACTCATGCAGCGAAACAGTTCACGTCATCAGGGCCTGATAAACTGTTCGGTAACAAGAACAACACGCAGCTGAAGATGTACAAACCAGTGAGTTTCATGTCTTCTGCTAGAGGAACTACATGGAGATCAAATGAGCTCTTTCCATCTGAGAATCCACCTGACAAAAGCTGAAAAGTGTCATAAGTCACCTCTAACACTGTGTTTGACCACGTCTGTCTTGCAGCCTGTTCTCCTAAACGAAGTCCTCGTGAAGCTTCCAGATCCGTCCAGCGACGAGCCTGTCTTCCACATCTCACACATCGACAGAGTCTATATCCTCAGGACCGACAACATCAACGAACGGTATTTTCTCTTTTACTTGAACACACACCCACACCTAACAAATGAGCCGTATGAGGCGTTCATTACAACCACCGAGTGTGTGTGTTTGTGTTTTTAGGACAGCATGGGTTCAGAAGATCAAGGCGGCATCTGAGGAATTTATTGAGACAGAGAAGAAGAAAAGGGAAAAAGCTTATCAAGGTTAGTTTTTAACTTTGGACTGATGAAATCTATGAGTTGATGCAGTTAATGCTTGGGGGTGCGCAGATGGCCTAGCCGCTTAGTGCGCCCCTGCTTATGGGAACCACAGTACCCACAGCAGTCGTGGGTTTGAGTCCTTTCCCGACCATATGCTGCATGTCCTCCCCCCTCTCTCTCTATCTCCCCATACTTCCAACCTGTCCTAACAATAAAGGCAAAAACTTGCCAATAAATAAATCGATAAAAAATTTATATTAAAAAATTAAATAAAAAAATAATAATGCATCTGCTTGTGTGTATGTGTTTTTTTTTTTTTTTTTGCAGCGCGGTCTGTGAAGGCGAGTGGAATCGGCAGACTTCTCGTCACCATCTTGGAAGCCACTGAGCTAAAGGCGGGAAAATCTAACGGTGAGCATCAGTCCAGGATCTCACAGATTATTCCAGATTATATGGAAGGTTTTTCAGTAGCTGTTACACTCTGGACATGCCTTTTGTCAGTGCTATTCAAAGGTCAAAAGAAACATCTGAACAATATTCTTAAAGCGTTATTCATGAATGTTCTTAAATCACTGATAACGCTCAGAGGGAATACTATCTCACTGTTCGAGCATCCTTTGAGATCAGCACTGGCGCACGTGTTGCAGGGCTGCTGGTTGGTCAAACCTGCTTTGAAATTTCACATTGGGCAAACTTTTAAGGCTGCTCAGAGGGCGCATGAATTCGCCGATTTGTGAGATTAAAAAACTTTGTGGGGAGACAGATCAGGGCACGCTTTAACAGGATGTGCTCACAGCTCACTAGGCCTGAAAAGACACCATGATCTCTTCAATGATGTGGTAAAAGCAGCTTCTGAACTCTGCTGCAGGCTACATGCACTGCTGCACTGACCTAATGAAGCCGGCAACATTTAATGATGATGCTCTTCCTTCCCTTCCTCTTTACTTCACTTAGTTACTCTAGAGTCCATCATTAATTTCCTCATTTTCTCTTCCCTCGGGCTCTTGGCTCTTTTTTCTTCTCATTACTCCACTGTTTTTTTTTCTTCTCTACTCTCCTGTTGAACCCCTCTTTTATTTTGACTCATATATATTTTATTGTGTCCCTCCTACAGGAAAAAGTAACCCCTACTGTGAGGTGACTATGGGAGCTCAGATCTTCACGTCCAGGACGCTTAACGAAACCCTGAATCCCAAGTGGAATTTTAACTGTCAGTTTCACATCAAAGATCTTTACCAGGACGTCCTCTGCATCACTATCTTTGAAAGAGACCAGTTTTCACCTGACGGTCAGTTACCTTCTCTCTTTCACCTCCTGCTTCCTCATTAATGCAGTTTTTCTCTGTAACCCTGAAAAACAAAAACAATCAAACTGTGTTGCTGCTTGAAATTCTTTCTCTTTCTTCTTCCTGGACTTAAAGGATCCTACTAAAATGCCTCTCTCTGGTTCTTCTCCTTTTTTCAGTTTTTCTGGGTCGGACAGAGGTTCCTGTTGCCACCATAAAGAAAGAGCTGGAGAACAAGGGACCAGTAACTCGCCGTCTTCTTCTGCACGAGGTCCCTACAGGGGAGGTGTGGGTCCGCCTGGACCTGCAGCTTTTTGGAAACAAATAGGAGAAAGAGAAATAATAACGGCGTCTGAATGAGGCTGCCATCCTCCTTCTTTTGTGTCGCTTAAGCAAACTCAGATGGGTCTTCCTCACATGCCCGACTCAGACTTTTCTAACCCTAAGACTGTTTCTCACATCAAGCCTTAAAATGTTAAATATTAACCAGCACTAATACCTCCTCTGACATCATCTGAGTCTTCCAATAGGAAAAAAGGGCTTCAGTGACATCACCCAAAGCCTCCAATAGTGGTCAGATTCTTGTTTTTTCTGGTTCATGACCTCTAATAGAGAGAGAAGCACAGTCTGTACTGTACACTCTGATGTACAGTCTGTGTGTGTGTGTGTGTGTGTGTGTGTGTGTGTGTGTGTGTGTGTGTGTGTGTGTGTGTGTGTGTGTGTGTGTGTGGGGCTGGATCTGGGTCCACTGCTGTCACCATTTCTGACCCTCAGGGAGGAAGAACCAGGCAAAGATCATTAAGAAGCATTAATCATCCTCTCCAAATAAGCAGTAAAGCTACAATCATGAGGGTCATTTTCTACTCTGCTGCAGAAACTCTCTGAGTTACTCAAGTGTTTAAGGATTGAGACTCGACTCGCTAAGTCCAGTCAACTACAGTCATAAAAAGTTTTATTTCTAAAGGATTTTGTATGTTGGGGAGCTTTTATTTTGAAAGGGCAGGAGTTTGGCTTTCAGGGGGTTCTACTCTGGCGCCTTATTACCAAAGTGTCGTCACCATAAAGCAGCCTGCATCCTCCGTGATGAAAGCTGAAGATGGCCTCTATCCGACAGGAAGTTTGTGTTCGTAGCTCTGGTCTGGAGTCAGTTTACTGTAGATAGAAGATCTCAGGACAGGTCGTTTTGAGATTTGTCTGTGTGACTGTCAAAGGTTTTGTTTGTGTGTCTTTCTGAAAGAGTTAAAAAGTTTTGAGAAAATATCCTCAGTGACAAGCTGTTGATGCTGAAACTTTTGGAGTTAACTCAAAACTTTTGTCTCTTTAGTCTTTAAAATCAGTTAAAAAAGTAGAACTTTTCTTTGAGATGACGGTGGTTTTAGGATAGATTCATGAGCTGTTTTATTTCATGCACAAAACAAGCGAAGGCCAAGTAGTTTTAGGGCAAATAACAGAAGGACACAGGAGTGAACAGCTGCATATATGAACGTTTTAACTCTTCCTCCAGCTGACTCAGTTGTTCCCGCCTCTTTTTCACATAGAGGATGGCGGGATTACGCAGCGACATAGATTGACAGTTTGTCGCACAGTATTTGCTTGCTTCTGGTATTTTATTCTGTCACTCTGCCAGAGAAGTTTTTCAGCATCACTCCCCACTCCTCACCTCAATGACAGTAATATTGTCCATCTCTGTTGCCCTCTCCAAACATCTGCCATGAAAATGTTACAAGGATCAGTCTAAAAAGCTTTTATTTATGTCGTGGGTCGATATTTTTGGTGTCCTTGTCATCCTAACTTGAGCAGATAATAACAGAAGTATTTATTTGATAAATTATGCGTGTGTGACGATCTGGAGGTTTGGAGCGGCTTTGCTTGCTGTGTCATCTCGGATTATCAGCTGGTCTCCACTGGGTTTGTTTTAGTGTGATGTCAAATATGAAAAGGATGTTGATACTGTTTTGAAAGGCAATAATGAAATCTGCAATGATTGTCTTTGGTTGAGTTTTACTGTTTGTACATTAGTCGTGTAAAAGGCCTGCAGTTTTGTGCTCTTATACGAATTTCTCTTCTGTCAACTAAAGTCTTTTGAAGTCCTGTTTTAACTTGGATGTCTCTTTTTTTTTTGAATGTTTGGAAATGTGCAAATAGACTGGACTACTTTCCTCGTATGTTTAGGGGTGTAAAAGTTTCTCTTTTGTTGTATTTACTTTTTATTTCCCGCAGCCGTCTGCACCGACCGCTGCTGTGCTCTCTGAGCTTGTGGCCTCTTTAATCCCAGATTGTCTGATCAGCCTGGAGTCTGTAACCTGCTGTTTGTACTCACTTTGGCCTCCATGTGGCACTCTCTGAATCAGGGTTTCTTAAAGTCAAATTAAAGACATTAAAAGTGAACAAGCTGTCTACTTACTGTCTGAAAAATGATCTTTTGCACTGAACTGTCGGCTCAAAGCAGTTTAAAGGGCTACAAAACTCTCTTGGTTACCACCTTTGTCCACTGGGGGTACCAGAGTCCACACTGACTAAAGTCTCTCACAGGGGCTTTAAAGCACCCAAAGTCAGAATTTATCAAAATTTTTAATTTGAGAATCATAGAAATACTAACATATGATATGCAGGAGTTCTCTATGATGTGTTTGCATCTAATGGGGGAAGTTGTAATGTGTAATGAAATACATATGAGTTTCTATTCATCCATAAAGATTGTTATAAGAACATAAAGATGCATTACACTGTGTTATAAATGTATTTATGAGCCATTATGAGTGATGAGCAAACTACATTTATATTCGGTGCAGTGGGAACAAAACGTTTATAAAAAACAAACTTGTCCAATATGCTAGATTTGAGATTATATGTATGAGAATAAACATAATTGGGATTATCACTGTCAACGTTTTCAAAGTATCTCAAAAACCGAAACATTCATTTCCCAAGCATTTAAGAAAATTTAAACAGAAAAAGATTTAACCTTTGATATTTTCAGTATTTTATGTTGTTTTCCCAGGTTTGTGTTTGTATGCAGCCAGAGTCGGCGCAGTGCAGTGTGGAGCTGTCAGTGCGCACCAATAGAGCTCATTAAGTCCTTCTTCACCCTCCACTGGCTCTGCATCCACAGGAGCAACAGTGGTTATGTAACCTTACTGAGTGTCTGCGATGGGCTGACAGCAACACACACAGCTGTGTTACCCAGTCAACAAAGTCAGCTGAACTCAACCCTCTCTAATACAGTGCTACTGTTGTAGTAAAGGATTTAATGCCCTGGGTATGTGTCGGTTTAAATGGTGCTAAATATTCTGTTGCACTCAATTAAAAACAAGCGTGGCTCAGATCTGGAAGAACTGCAACACTCAAAAACAAACACAATTTGAAGAAATAAAGGCCCCAAATTATTAACCTTTAATAACTCTTTAAAAGAGGAGACTAGGCAAGTTTAGTTTATAGCACATTTAAGAAAAACACAGTCCACAGTGCTTTAATCATGACAGAAGAAACACGTTAGAAAGAGCACGTACAAAATCGATGAAACTTTAAACAAGAATGGGTGCAGCTGGAGTTAAAAAAAAATATGATTCAACCCAAGAGGACTGCTAAAAAAAGCAATAAATTACTTGATACAAAGTGACAGTCTCAGAAAGTAGATGTGACATCTGAGACACTGCACGGCTCAGAGAAAAACAGCTCCCAGTGAAAAAAAAAAAAAAAATCTCTTTAAAAAGTAAAATGATGAAGGAAATTTTGATTCATCTGAAAGTAAAGGCTGAGTGTTGGATCGTTTTGCTTTATGTCACGCAGAAAGCTTAACATTATGCAGAGACAAGTGTGGGCCGACGCATTTAAAATGCTAAACAACATCTAAAGCGTATGCATGTCTGTGTAATCTGCACATCCTCAGAGTAAAGGCCATGAGTGTCTGTGAGTTCACCAGATACTCTGTGCGTTTACAGACAGTGACAGTATGCTGCTGTGACTCTGGTGCCGTCCCCCAGGACACATTATATCACACAGGATTGTAAGGCACGGTCCTGCAGAGAGACATATTTGATTAAATGACTGTAATTCAAAATATGAAGAGCTCTGATGTGCATAATTCATCGTTTTTAGAGGAGCACTCCCTCAGCACAATCAGTGTGGGGGTTGTTACTCACAACTCACAACCATGTTGTAATCTCAATTATGTATTTGATGCTCTTAGCCTAACAATAGAGGACTAGATCAACTTTACAGCTTCAGTGAGTTTCTTTAGCATCCTGCAGCAAAGTAGTTTTGTCTGTTTTGGTTTGGTCTGCTTTCATCAGGGATGTTGTCAGACATAAATGCAGCCTTTTTCAGCAAAAAAAAAAACTTCAAAACTTCAATAAACCCCACAGTGAACACAACACAAAGTTCGTTTTTGACAGGAAAAAAGGTGCTCTAACCAGAACATAAACAGAGTCAATATTTCATCAAAATAAACAGAAAGTGCAGAATTGGGCGTATGATGTGTCCTGAAATTGGCAAAAATATATTTTATCTACTGACTGTAAAGATGTGTTTTTTTGCCCTGCATTGCTGCAGAAAGAAGGGTGATTTAGAGTCTGACTTATAACATTTTATTAATCTATTTTGCAGCTGTGAACTAAATGATAGCTCAAAAGTCACCATTTTGATTCCATGAGCAAATGTGCAGGAAATGTGGAGGATGACAGAGGACAGACGCAGCTAAATCTAAGGCCATGGTTCAGACCAGGTCAGGAGAGCGAGTGTGTGAGTGAAAGTATGAAAGAAAAGTGCAGTTAAGCAGAAGAAGAGAGCAGTTTGGAGGCGGGAGGAGAAAAGGCAGAGACTGAGAGGTATAAACACATGTGCAGACAGAGGCAGAGCGTATAGAGTAAGCGAGAGAGAGAGACAGTGACATGTGCATGGAGGATGGGTCTGAGAGGCCCTCAGCTCCACTTGACTCAGTCATGGGAATGATTTGATTATCACCACATGAACAGATGCCTTATGTAACACACAGACACACTCATGCACACATATACGCACACAAACAGCAACTCAAATAACGAGGGGTTTGGGTTTGAGCCAGAAACCTACGCTGAGTGAAGGTGGCCTGTAGCTACAGAGAATAAAAGAGAGATAGAGTGTGTATTAAAGGTCAGCCAGGCCTCTTCCTATTGTCAAATAAAAATGTAGCCCCCAGCTTTCCTCGTTGCAGCATGAACATTGTTTTAAGGGTATGAAATAATAAAACTACTTTCAGAAGCATTAAATTATCATTGGAGTAGCACTGAGAAAAGTATTCACAGCAGTGGTGTAGTACTTAACTGTGTTATAATTTCTGTTCCTTTACAAAATTTTATATTCATATCATTTCAAATTCATTATTGTATATAATATATACTGTATTATATTATGTAATATTATAATACAGTATATATTATATTATATTATATTACAGTATATTATATTACATTGTCACATTTTGATATCACTTAGATGGCTATTGCAGTCTTCATGCAAAGGTCATTTACTTTTTTGACTCAAACTCCACATGATCTCCATTCTGTCTTAGTTGTGGACGAGCATGTCTTCCTCGATGTCTCCTCTGCCAACCCCGGTATGACTGTTGGACAGTGGGAACGTCAGGTCTTGGTTTTCCTAGTCTTCCTCGTCTTCAATGCAGTGAAGCACTGCACACCTGTGATTCCTAGTCATTTTTTTACCTCAGTAAAAAAAAGAAAAAACTCTGAGTTATATTATGTTAAGGTTTCATATTCACTGATGAGTATTTGTAAAGCTGTACTACATTATTGATTGAACTGAAATATCTTACGCTTTGCCATGATAAAAGGTTATCTCATTTTAATATATCATAATTATGGTATTGACATCAAATTTTACATTACATTATGTTATATTACATTATATTATAATTTTGGTTGTTAGGTGCTCTGATTTTGACAAATTTTAGATGTTCAAGCAGCAAAGTGAGGATAAAAGAGTCGTCAGCGAGTCTTTTGAGAAGGCTCCCTAGTTTGCCTGCACACAGGACTGACTACCACTAATCTGAGTCACTGTCACTATACTATGTCAGTTAGGAAGCACCTCCTAAGACCCTCTACCTGAGTGACTGAGGCCTAAGGTTGAGGGCATTGGCTTCTCTTCCTCTTCGCTGAGGTCATATGTTGATGGAACTGGCCCTTTAGGGTGTGGTTTGAGTGGATGGGAGGCCAAAACGTATAAATATTAATTTTAGCAAATACTCGGCTACGTGTGAACAAGACCTAAGACTACATTAGATGTAAAAGTAAATCAAACACACAAACACTCACGCTCCTCTATTAAACCTGATCTATATCACATGCACACTCCAACACATTAACCTTGACAGAGAACATAGGCGTTACACATGCAATATACAGCATGCAGCCTGAGTAGATTATTACAGCATGCACAACTTTAACAGTTCTTACCACAAGATAAATGGCAGATTGGGCCCTGGGCCCAGGTTTATATAACTATACCTACTGCAAGGATGTTGCAAATCTGTTTATATCATTATGTACATGCCTCTTTTATATACATCTACTTGAATATCCAATCTCTTGAGCCGGCTGACATATTCTTCATTACAGTAGACACACATGCAATTTAACTCGTCCCTCACACACTGTCCCACTGCAATTAATCCTCACTGGAGCATCAAATGTATATCGATCCACAGCTGAAAATAGTCCCAGGCAGCTTCTTTTTTTTCCATCAAACTTTATATTGACCAGCTGTGTGAGTAAATTACTGAGCCTTCTTTAAAAAACAGAATCACACAACTGAGACCTCTTTTTAACCCTACAGTACCAAACATTAGCCAAGTGTCTCTTCTTCAACACATGTAGTGGTTACACAGCAACATTAAAATGAAGTTGTGTTTCTGTCTGCCCTGTGAATGTAAGCCAGTATCCACTCTCTTTTACTTCTATTCTTGGTCCCCCCACCAATCCTCAGGGAGATGCTCGGCTCTCTCGCTGCTAAATGCTTCTCTGTGTTCACTAGCTTGTTGCTAATGCTGCCTGTCTGCTCGACAGCTATTCGGTGCTGTACAGTCAGACTTGAGGCTTTTCAGTAGAAAACAGCTGCCTGCTGCTGCTGCTGCTGAACATGACACTGAGAGCAGAAACTAAATGAAGATAGTAAAGAGATAGACAAACAATGGACTGAAACTCTCTTTAAAACTTTATCTGTAAATTCATATCTGTGAGTAAAGTCTTTATCATTTTAACATTTAATACATAGTTGAGTCTCTGTTAAAGATTGATATTTAATGTTTGAGCTGTCAAAATATAGAAAACAGGAAACCACTTAAACAATGTTGAAATGAATATGATCAAAATAAATAAAAGTAACAATGAATTGGAGCCTATTCTTT